TGGTATTTGCCTCACTGATCCCTTACCCACCCATTTGCTGGCCTTCTCCCTTGTGGGGCTCTATGCAAATACAAATTACCTGAATCAGACAGCAGATGACTCACTGACTCCCCTTTAAATCCACATTGGCTTTGACACAGTAGGTACAGAGAGACCAGGAACCATGGCTCGCTCACCATCACCAGTCTGTTTCTCCTACAGGTTTCTGGTTTTCTGGTTACTAATAACTGTGGCAGAAGGTAAGTTTTTTGGGGGGGCTTATTCTAATAATGAATTATGACAATGATGCCTCACCTTTCTATATGGCATTTTACATTTTATAAATGAGATGATATTTGTTAAGTGATAGCACAGTGCCTGGCACACAGTAGGTGCTTAATAAATGCTTATTCCTAGTCCCTATAAAGCAGCTGGATCCTCTTATTAATGATGATTTGATCATTAATAAAATTAATTGCAATTGTGTGGGTAATGGGATGCCAGACATCTTGGTAGAGTGGATAGAGCCGTCCTGGAAGCCAGAACAAGTCCCAGCCCTGGGCAATTGGTCTTGGCAACTTTCTAAGACAAGAAACTGCCAAACTGCATTGGTGAAAGGAGTTTCCTCACCCAGGAATTCCATATGCCAATGAGCTTATAGGTCAGGTTCCTATCCCTTGGTTATTTAAGTATATAATCTCAGATTTAGAAAGGTTTCAATCATCTTTTATTGGGCTTCCACAGTTTGCATCCTAAGACAATAGTATCAAATGATTTCCAGCTAATGTCACTAAATAATTAATAGAACTTACAGTTCCTTCTGTTTCACCTTGGGAACCCTATGAGGGCTTTTCAATCAAGTGAAAAAGCATATTGATACATAGATGCATATGCATGTACATGTGTATATGTGTATATATTATACACATGTGGGTAGACAGAAATACAGTACAGATATTCCCTTAAAATCTTCACCATAAAGTAATTATTTTCACCCCAACCAACCACATAATAATTATAAGAAAGGTTTCCTTAACTTCACCTTTTTGCTTATGAGCATGACGTGCTATCATGCAGTGAACTTCATGTCTAGACTAAAAGAATGCCATAAATCCACTTTAAAATTATAATAAGAAAAGACTTACAAGCAAAACTTTTGACAGATTTTTTTAAACAGCATTCTGATGTTGAAGAATTATTGTTGTCAATACAAACATTGTTGTCAATTTACCAACTAGATTTAAAAGTGTTAAGAAACATGTGGCAAACCCTGATCTCCAGGAGTTTACATCGTAAAGGGGGTGAGGTAGAGAGTGGTAAGGACAGCTACAGAAATAACCCCAATACAAGGAAGAGGGAGATATGTAGAAAGGAGAGGTCCTGACAAAGTGCTCTGATTTACCTGGAGATAGTGCCAACCTCTCCTCAGGTTCATTGTACAGAAGAGATATTAGACTTAACTACTCTTGTATACTGAGGGGCAAGGCTCTAGCCTTACTGTCTGAACAGGAAACCAAAGACTTGGTAACTGCCTTTCTAATTTTCTTCGTAATGTAGATTATAAATGAAAGCTTAATAAACTAGGGCTAAAAACAGCAAATTCATGCTAACGTAAGCTTTACATACATTTGTGTTTTAATCACTTCTTAAGGGTCAGATAATGTGGTTTGCTCTGTGTCTTTAAATAATAAAACTAGCTAATGGAGTTGAGAGGATTGGGAATGTGGAATATATTTTAAGTTATTTGATTATTCAAGTAAGGCAGCTTTCAAGGACAGTTGTTTCAGGAAATGCTACTGATGAACTTCAATTAAAAAAATGAATTTGCTTCTCATATGTAACTCCTTTAATCACGAAGACTTTTGTTGCTTTTTAAAAAGAGACTGCTCAGTGAATCTGAAGTCAGAAAGACCTGAATTCAAATCTGACCTCAGACACTTAATAATTGTATGACTATGGTCTCTGGGAAGTTCCTAAAGACAGAGAAAAATCTCAGGAAGACAATGATGAAGACAGAGGCACAGAAAGGTGCTCTGTTGATATCAACAGCTAAGTTTTGAAAAGCAGCTTGTGGCTTCTTCACCCACAGGGGTGAGCCATAAAGAGTTAAAAGGGAGCAGTCGCAGGAAAGGAACCATTTCCTAAACAAGACGCTGGCTAGTAGCCACACAGGCAAATTACAAGAGGAGATGAGTTACACAAAAGTAATTGGATGTGACAGAAAGGTGCCTGGTTATAGCATTTCAGAACTGATTCCAACCGGCAGGAGAAGATGGTTTGCCATGAAAGGTGTGCTCATATGATTGGGTTCCCATGGGTCTTAATCTGAGTGGAATTACATAAGGCCTCAAATCAGTACCTTTAAAGAAATCTGTTTGGCTCCGTATTTGGAAGTAGAGATAAAGAAACATGAATCCCACTGGCATAATGAAAAGGGTTTGTGGTTTGTGTGTGTGTGTGTTTTTTCAATTCTTGTTTTTATTTTTAGTGATCTCAGCAGTAAGCTTCCTGTGTGGAATTGCCCTTCCTTGCTCCTATATTCAAGCCTATCTACTTTTACAAGCCCATTGATAGGAGGTCCTTGGCAAGAGCTCTCCTCCAATTTCCTTAAATTTAAGTAGAGAGACAGCTAAAGGGGAACTCTTGCTTCCTAGAACATGGACATGCCCCAAATTTTGCCTTACATGTGTAAACAACACCATGGTCACCCACATTCTCTTTCCTATACCAGGCACATGTAGCATCTGCTCAGTAAAGTGACCAAAGTAGCCTTGGTCTGTGACATATTGAACAGTATCTTTTACTGTGTTTTACAGATCCCCCCTTTCTCTTCTCTTTCTTACTATATCTATCCTTTCCCAATCTCTAATTCTCCAAGCAAAGGGTCTTCCTAGCTCTCTACCTTGATCTTCTATTGATATTGGCAAAGACATTGCCTTCTTTCATAAACCCGAAACCAGGAAAATACAAATGCATATTTTTTTGGCTTTTTCTTTTTTCAGGTCAAAGAAACACATATAACCCTTTGGGAGTGTCAGAGCCTAGTGTTAATCCTACAGACTGCCAAATCTTTACGCTTACTCCTCCCCCTGCTACGAGGCCTCCAGTAACAACCTCCAGACCTGTCACTTTAGCAACCAGATGGTGCCATTTTCCTCCTCTCAGAAAACCCGGAATCCCCTTTGGGTTCCCCAACCCTCCTTTCAGACATCCAAACTGCGGTCGCCAACCTCACTTACCACCTCACATCCATTGTCGTCATCCATTCTTACTGCCTCGGAGAGGTTTCTACCCTCACAAGTACTTCCCCAGAAGAAAGTCCTCAAGCTCATCAGAGGAATACTGAAGTAAAAGAGAAATCCCTCCCCTTCTGAAGCAGATATGAAAGGAGCCCGATCTCCAGTGGAGGAAGAAAGCCTGTTTTTCTCTTTAAAAGATATAGCTTGGATTCTGACAAACAACCGGGAAACCAAAGGGGAAACCTGGCCTTGGTGCTTTTAGTCAGCAGTGAAGGAACAGCGATACAGACTACGTTTGACTTGTCATATGTCTCTCAGGGCATTTATCTCCCATAGGATGAAAACCTCAAAATTGATGGCGCCCACGTCAGTGAATGGAAGGATATTAAATATTGGGAGGATTTTTCACCTCTTCTAAACTACTGCTCCCTTGACTTTCCCCCAGCAATATCCAATGAGTAATCAACCAATGGGAGGGTGGGAAGAAATCCAGCCCCTCCCCCCTCCAATCTCGGGATTTGTCTCCAACACAAGCATACCACTCTCTTCACTTTTTATCTCCTAACGTTCTCTGTCCCTCACCCTCTTCTGTCTCCTGGCTACGCAATCTCCTCCTATACTTTCCCCTTCTGTCTGGTGTAGGCTGCAGCACCACCTGTTCCAAGGTTCCTTTAGGAAACTTCTCTCACATTCCCTCCTTTCCCCCCAAGGTACCCACACCCTGCCCCTGGGTCATCTCAAGACTGAAGCAGGCACCCCTTGTTTGAGTCTCTGCCCTCTGATTGGATCTATGCTCTGGGGCAGTAACCAGTGAGTGAGAGACCACACATCCGTCCTTCATTTCTGGTGGGTCAGAGCACATTGTACAAGATGAGAAGGCATGGCTGGGTTGTACTCTTCATTGCTGGTCTCATTATATTATCCCTCCTTGAAATTTTCCCTACCCGCCTTTTCTGAATTTCCTTGTTAATGTCAAAGTAATATAATAAATCCATCCTTCTGATCATTCAAGTTCACAATCTTGGCTTCATTTTCTATTTGGTGCTCTCTCATACCCCACGTATACAATCAGTGCCAACACTGCCGTTTCTACCTCTACAAAATCTTTCCCATCCGCCCCCTTCTTTCTACTCACAAAGCACCACTACCCTAGCACAGACTCTCACTGTCTCTGGACTGAATTATTACAATAACCTCCTAACTGGTATCCCTGCTTTAAGCCTCTACCTGCTCCGATGTATCCTCCACATAGCTGCCAGTGATTTTGTTAAGAAAAAGGTCCCACCATGGCACTCCTTTGCTCGAGAAATTCTAGTGGCTCTCCTTCAACTCTAAGATCAAATATTATTTTTCTCTTCATCTCTTTTTTCTGTAAATTTTATCATGCACATAATTGTATATGTACAGAAATTATGTGTGCACTGTAATATAGATGCAATTTTAAAATAAGTAAATACTGATGAGGGTGCATATTAAAGACCAAACATGCAGCCTGGGATAGGGGTAGTTGGCTGGTGGCCCCACAACACCCTCAAGTGGGCCTGGAACCTGATTAAAATGTAATTGGGAAACATTTAACAAAATAAATGAAAATGCAATAAAACAGAGATAATATTACATGTTTAAACGAAGTCAATCTGCAGCTGCAGCTGCAAGTATCCTTATGTACAGATCAGTGGCCTCAATTCTGTTTGAGGTTGGCACCGCTGCTCTAAATCACAGCAAAGTTTTCAGAGTAGTTAACACAAAACTATAAAGCAGGATGAAGATATCTGAGGGCAAACCCTAGAACAAAGGAGTCAGCATTTAATTGGGGCAAGGGAGGGTCGAGGAGCAGCCAACTGACAATTTCAGGGAAGAATGCAAAGTGGTCTTTGAAAGAAATTCTAAAGATCAGAGTTAGAATGCAACATTTTAGGGGCACCTTAAGGAAAACCATTAGAACCCTCTATCATTTTTAACTGGAGTGTCTGCACTAAGTTAATTCTAGAAATGCCCATTCCAGACAGTATGCAACCTGTTTGTAGTTAAGTCATTTTTCAGTCATAATCAATTCTTTATGACCTCATTTGGGGTTTTCTTGGCAGAGATGCTGAAGTGATTTGTCATTTCCTTCTCCAGCTCAGTTTACAGATGAGGAAACTGAGGCAAACAGGGTTAAGTGACTTGCCCAGGGTCACACAGCTAAAAAGTATCTGAGGCCAGATTTGAATTCAGAAAGATGAGTCTTCCTGATTCCAAGCCCAGTCCACTGTACCACCCTAGCCTTTTCAAAATTTTTAAAATTGGTATTAATTATAATTACCTCCTTAAAAAAGTGCAGCACAATTCCAAATACAAGGGACAATTAAAAAAAGTATGACCAGTTTTCTAGTTCATGAATGTCACAGATATAAATCAATTGGGCTAGGGGAGGCCTTGTGCTTTTAGCTGGGGGTATCAAACATGCCAGAACCAGATGAAAATGTTAAGTGAAAAATATTTGTCAAAATAAATAAAAATACAATAGACCCTAGATAAGTTTACTATGTGGTTTACTAAGTCAATATGTGGCCTGCAGAGCATCCTTCTGTGCAGTTTAGTGGCTAATTTCCATTTGCTCCAGGTTGGAAATTCCATCTGCTGGTTATTTGTTAGCCCTCCCTGCAACACGTCATCCACCTGTGCTCTTCGCTGCATCTTCAGGACAGGAACAATTTTTTTGGTCTCCTATCTTATTGCTGAAGGCTGTGCTTGGCAGCCGTCATTAGAATTTTGGTCTGGGAGTCTGCAATGGTTGGGTTCAAATCCCATTTCTGAACCTTCGTAACTACTGGCAAATCACTTCATATCTGTGTCTTTCTTTGTATGCAGGAATGCTATGACTAAGGCTCTATAGACTGACATTCACGATAGGAAGAAACAACCCAATGTAAGCCAACCAAAATTTATGAAGAATAATGAAGAAAAGAAATTTGAAGCAACTGATGTAGACGTGTACATAGTTTACACCCATCCTGTCTTTCTCCAAATGATACTGCTTAATTAATGTCCACACGTGAATGCTGACGCTAAGCAATAGGAACAAATTGTAAATAACTGGAAGATTTTAGGAAAAGCTGTCTAGAAGATGAGAAAGATACACAATTTTATATCATCTTTTCTTGATCTAAAGATATAAAAAGAAGAGGAAATAACCACTTTTTTACACTTTTCATGGCAAATCTTTTAAGTTCAATGTTGGCAATCATCTCTAAATACAATTTAAAGTATATTTTTAAATTATACAAAATCCTAGACTAGACTATCATTAGGAAGATCTATAAGCTCTCAGCTACACATTGCTTAGTAGTTATTGGAGACAAAACTAATAAGTTTATAGTTATTGGGGCCAACCTTGGACAAAACTATGGAGACCAAGTATTTGGTGCCAATCCCCGCTTTTGGAAAGAAGGAAGAAAATAAGGAAGGGAGCAAGGGATGGAGGAAGGATAAAGGAAGGAAGGAAGAAGGAAGGAAGGAAGGAAGGAAGGAAGGAAGGAAGGAAGGAAGGAAGGAAGGAAGGAAGGAAGGAAGGAAGGAAGGAAGGGAGGGAGGAGGGAGAGGGAAGGAGGAAGGAAAGGAAGAAGGGAAGGAGGGAGGAAGGAAGGAGGGAGGGAGGAGGGAGAGAGGGAAGGAGGAAGGAAAGGAAGAAGGAAGGAGGGAGAAGGAAGGGAAGGAAGGAAGGAAGGAGAAGGAAGGAAGGAAGGAAGGAAGGGAGGAGGGAGGGAGAGAGGAAGGAGGAAGGAAAGGAAGAAGGGAAGGAGGGAGAAGGAAGGAGGGAGGAGGGAGGGAGAGAGGGAAGGAGGAAGGAAAGGAAGAAGGAAGGAGGGAGGAAGGAAGGAAGGAAGGAAGGAAGGAAGGAAGGAAGGAAGGAAGGAAGAAGAAGGAAGGAAGGAAGGAAAAGGAAAGAAGAAGGAGAGGAGGAAGGAAGGAAGGAAGGAAGGAAGGAAGGAAGGAAGGAAGGAAGGAAGGAAGGAAGGAAGAAGGGAGGGAAGGGAGAGAGGGAGTTCAGTCAGTTTTCTGGAGATGAGCCTCTCTGAGCTTAACTAGCCTAGTCCTTATACAACAAACACACAGCGCATTTCAGGGACCCAGCAGCTGAAATACTATGTCCTGCAAACAAGGAAGCAACTCATCCATTGTCTATGCAGGACCCAGAAGTGAGCATGATGGGAGGAATATTTTGTAATCGTTCTCCCTAGGGATGGAGGGGAGAAAAGAAAGGGAAGAGAGAAGGGAATAGGTATTTATATAGTACCTACTATGTGCCAGGCATTGTGCTAAGAACTTTACAATTATTATCACATTTAATCCTCACAAAAACACTGGGAGGTAGGTGCTATTATTATCCCATTTTACAGTTGAAAAAAACTGAGGCAAACAGAGGTTAAATGACTTGCCCAGAGTCGCACAACTAGTTAAAGGTTTGAGGCTGGATTAGAACTCAGGTCTTCCTGATTTCAGGCCCAGTACTCTAACCACTGTGCTCCCTAGCTGCCCCTGGTGGCAGAGGAGAGTGTGCTTCCCCTAGGAAGTAGCTGACTTCCTCAGTTTCCTCAGCTGGAAAATAAGGATCATAATAGCACCTACCTTGCTGTATTGTTTTAAAAAAAAGCATTTAGCACAGTGCCTGGGAAACAGTAGGAGCTTAATAAATGTTTTAGTCCCTTCCCTCCCTTCCCTCATGGCAGCATAATTCTTAATAAACCTCTTCAGTAAAAATCCCTTTGTAAAAGCTAATTGATATTAATTGTTTAAATGTTATTGGGGAGGTAATAACTGGTGAATGATATAGAAGGGAGTGAAAGCACCAGATGGGGGCTCATGAATGACAAATTTAGACACTTCAGCCTCTCAGGGCTAACCCAGGACCCTCAGAAAAGAGCTGGTCATGGCTCTGAGCACCAGCTCTGCTAGTCTGCTGTATGGACTGGGAGGCTGCTGGTTACACTTTTGTTAATAAATTCTTGCTGGATTTGGACTTTCCTTTCTATTGTGTCTGTATGTCCTTAGCTGTGGCTCAGGAAGATCCGTATTTGTATGTAAAGAACGAAAGCTCAACCCAGTTAGACAAAACGCTTGGGAATAAAGGGCTAGGGTCAACTGAATTTTCCAATAGGTGGAAGTTAACTAGGAAAACTGTTTTGTTACCACCTGATTGGAGGCTTTTACCTACAATCTGTCTGTCCACCTTGTGCCTTAGCAAATGTAACAATCTCTGATTTTTAATGCCTCACATATTGATACGAGTGCTTTAAACTGTTTCTTTTCGATAACCCTGTAGAGGATGCAAAGTCAATGTTACCATCCCCGTTTTCATGATGACGACATGAAAGCTCATGCCTGATAGAAGTGTCAGAGCCAGCCTCTGTGCTTGGATCTCTTCTAACTCCAAAGCCCAGTGTTCTTTCCCCTTTGCCGCTGGTGGCATTCTCTCCCGGAGGCTGATCACGACCAGTGTTGGGGCATAAGTCCAGAGAACTGGTTTCCCTATCAATTATTCCTCAGGTGACAGTTTCTGGCCCACTCGCTGTTGTGATGCCCGCTCTGTACGCGCTTCAGTTTGCTAATGCTCCTCTTCCAATACAAGGTGCTCAAATTAAGGCCATTTTCCAAATGTGGTTTGATTGGTAAAGGGTACAATGGAAGGAACTATTTCCATCATTCTGGTGGCCATCCATCTCTTATTAAGAAACACAGGATCACGTGAGGGTTTTTCAGATAGGTCTCATGGGGGACTTACATTAAACTTGCAGTCCACTGAACCCTTCCATGCAGGGTCTTTTTCACATCCATTAAAAAGCTGGGTCATCTTTACCCTATACTTGTGTGACTCACTTTTCAAACAAGCAATTTATACTTATCGCTATGACATGTCATCATATTATTCCCACTGTGCTCAAAAAACTTGGTATCCTGACTCTTACACTTAACCGCTAAACTTATTAGTTAGTGAGTTACCCCTCCCCACTTCGTGTGTCCAGGGCATATATGTTTACCTCTATCCAGTCACTGATAAAAATTAGAAAGCAAGGCTAATGAGAGGCTCTCCTTAATACTGCTATCTATTAATTCATACTCTTTGGATACTGACTTTTCAACCACTCACAAAGCCATGCAACTGTCTATCTAGACCCCATTTTTCTTTTTTTTGCCTACTGATTAAAATCGTATATCTCTGAAAGTTTTTAAGTAAACTTAGCAAAATGGGGATTATGTTTGATCTGCAAAATGGATCTAAAAATCAAGGAGTCAGCCAATAACAATAATAACAACAATAACAATATTTAGAATTTGCATAATGACTTAAGGTTTGTAAAGCACTTTTTACAAATATTGTCTTATTTTATCCTCACGACAACCATGGAAGGCAGGTACTATTATAATCCCCATTTTACAGATGAGGAAACTGAGGCAGACAGATTAAGCCACTTGTCCAGGGTCATACACACAGCCAGGAAGTGTTTGAAGCCCTTTCTTGGCTCAACACTCAACTAGTTGCCTCTGAACACATACAACATGTACACAATGACATTGTCCTTATTCTCCTTTACAAAGGGATAAATAAATTTAAACAATAAAGAAACCCTGATAATATATCACACTGGAACATAATCTCTAAAGGTTTTACTGTGTTGATATTTTTAAAGAAAAAAATCATAGTGTCTGTCACATGCTTCCGCCTTGGATCTCTACAATAAGTCCTTCTGGTGAAGACACAAAGGACTGTTTGTAAGAGGCAGCAGGGTCATGTCAGGGAATTTCATTTTAAGTTACTTTATATAAAATGAACCAAGGTCGTCCACTGTATCCAGGGCCATGACCAGTTGTCTTGACTTTTGTCCCTCTACTGGACTTTAATGACTCTGGAAGAGAGAGGGAGGCTGATTTGTGAGACTCTGCCTCACTTAAATCCAATTCCCACGTAAGTCAAGACATCACCCCATGCTGTCATTAGTTCTCTTTGAAAACGAAGGACAAACAACAAAAACAAAACAGACCAGTGGGAACTGTCTGGGAAAACAATCATTCACTCCTAGAGAAGAATGATGAAGCTTTAGAAATAGCTCTTGTACTATGGACATTCTGGACACCCTTTGGAAATGCTCACACAAAATGGTACACACCTTGATGTCACAGGAGCGGGAGGGGAGGAGGGAGCTGTCGCTTTCATTTCCCTTGGCTATGTGGATGAGCTCTGATGGATCAGGCCAGCTGGGTGCTCTAATCTTGTCTGAGTCACAGCTGTACAGATCCAGCTGTCTCGAGGAAAGGGGGTCAGCAAGGAGATGAGCACAAAAGGCCTAACAAGGGGCCTCTCTGGCTTCCCGTCTTGCTAACAGTGTGGCGCTGGAACTTAGCTGGGCACGCTATTCCAGACCCAAGAATCTGAGGGGGGTCCTGAAGGGGTGCATCAAAATGTCCCTCCAGTGTCAGGGTGGAATCATCTAAAACATTTATTTCCAAAATTGTTAATAGAAAGAAAAAAACAAGTGATGTCAACTCCTTGGATTTACTGAATTCTAAAAGGCAGTTAACATAATTCTCCCTCTTCTCTTCTGCCATGGTCTCTTATTGAGGATTTAAGACTGCCAATGTTTTAAAACAAAGAGGGCTACGTCTTGTCAGGACGACACTAAGACATTGGCAGCTGAAGAAGGTTTTTCCCTTTGCCAGAATTGTCTTTGTGTGGTCCCTTGCGACTGAGGATAATTGGAAGGGCCAAAGGAGACCAGATTTTCATGAAACATTGATTGTATGTCCACAGAAAGCACACTGATAGGTACGTGTTCAAGGAGGAAGAATTGATATAACAGCAATGCCAAGGAACAATTAAGTTTTTAATGTTTTTTTTTTTATAATTGAATAATGAGGTGGGGAAGACCAAGGGTAGAAGGGCATTTTCCAACATGACCTCCCACTCTTTGCCTTTGCTCCACCAATCTCAGCCCCAAGCAAATATGTGTGTGTGTGTGTGTACGTATATATGTGTGTGTGTGTACATATATATGTGTGTGTGTGTATGTATAGATAGATAAAGATATATATACATATATAATATTTATGCAGACAATACAGACAACTCAACACATCAATAACATCAACTTTTTAAAAACATATAATATTTCTCTTTGCACACATTTTCCCTCACCCTCCCCAAGCCCATTCCAACCTGTCAAATTTAGTTTAGTTCTTCATCTTACCAGCAAATGACCATTCATGCAGCTAGTCGCCCCCTTCTCCATCTAGAGGTATTGTGAAACACAATTACCAAGGCGGAAGGGGTAATGCCACGATGGTGAGAAAATGCTGAATCTGTCTTAAATACAATGGAAAACCACTGTCCTTTTGTTCCCCTTTCATTTCCACAGCATTGCTCTCAGGAATAACAAGGCAATTCAATGGGACATATTTCACCCTGTTTTGCTCTTCTCCCAGAATATCAATAATCTGATTCCTGGAGTTTGTCATCCTAGATTTTGGAGTACAATCTAAGACCCAAATTAAAAAGAAATCAAAGATATTAGCATTTCTATATAGCAACAATAAAGAGAAATACCATTAAAATAACTACAAAATGGATACAGTATCAAAATCAATCTTCCAAGAAACAATCAAGAATTATATAATATAATCACAAAACCTTCTTTAAAGAAATTAAGACAAATAATTAGATGTATATTCACTGATCATGGTTGGGCTATGACAATGTATCAAAAATTATTATACTATCTAAATTAATTTACAGATTGATTACTATACTACTATTAAAATTACCAAAAGGATACTTTATATAACAGAGTACTGGGCATATAGTAAGTGCCTAATAAATGCTCCATCTATCTACTGGTCAGTCAATCTATCTAGGGCTAGACAAAATAATATAAAAATTCAGTTGTAGGAATAAAATGTAAAGAATCTTAAAGGAAACAATGGGGGAGAAAAAGAAGAATGAAGAAGGAATAGCACTTCTAGACCTTATTATAAAGCCGTAATCATCAAGATTGTTTGGAACCAGCCAAAAGTGAGAAAAATGATGAGTAGAACAATCTAAATCAACAAGAATGAGAAACAATTAAGTTCAATAATCCCAAGGATATAAGCTATTTAAGTAAAGACTTCCTATTTGATGAGAACTGCTGGGAAAACTAGAAAGCGGAGAGCCCAAAGGTAGGTATAGATAAGCAACTTACTCTGTATGGCACAATAGTTTCTAAATGGATGCCCAATTTAAGTATAAAAGAGCTCAATATTAAAAAGCTGGAGGAAAATCATTGGAGGTATCTTTCACACCTGTAAGCAGTGGGAGGATTCTTAACTAAGCAAGGGATATAGGAGATCACAAAAGAGAAAAGGCAATTTTGACTATATGAAACTGAAAAGCTTTGGCACGAACACAATCCATGCAGCTAGCATAAGGAACGAAATTGTGGATAGGGAAAAATCTTTGCCTCAAATCTCTCAAAAGGGGCTGCTCTCTAACACATATAGGGAACTGATGTAGATTTATAAGACCAAGACCATTGACTAGAAAATAAGTGCTCAACAGATATGAACAATCCTCAAAAGAAGGGCAAGCTATTAACTATTAATTATGAAATATTTTTAAACACACAAATACTATGCAGCATCCAAGTGGCCCCACACCTAAGAGACACAGGAGTTTCTGCAGAATGCAGGTCCAAAGCTTAGGTACCACATCCAGAACCAAGCAGAGGTTGCCCACACCATCCAAGTGTAACAGAGGGTGGGAATAGAACCTGACCCAAGCACAAAGCCCCAATCCAGGAACTGAGGCTGGAGATATCAGTAAAAGGAAGAAAATTATAATGAAGGAATATTATGGAGTTAGAGAAACCCAAGAGGTAAATGCAGATATACAGAACAGGATGAGTAAATAAGAAACAGAATAGGTAAGTGGAGTGTGTGTTGGGGTATTCTCATGGAAGGAATCCAGGAACCAGGAGAGGAATGGTGGATAGATATTGTTTAGGTAAAGATCAATAGAGAAAAAACAAAAGCAATTTTGTCCCTAAAGTATACAACAGACCCCCGGAGACATACCAATTCTACCACATAACATAGGGACAAGAGACCTTAGTTCCCTAGGTGTCTGTGAAGGCTCTCTCTTCCAATATCAGAACAGCTAATAATTTCTTGATTTGTTTTAATGAGAATTCCATCCTTCAAAAGGTGAAGGAAAGACAAAGGGACATTCTATTCTAGACATGATCCTCGCTAACACAGAGGCCCTAGTTGCTAGGGTGGAAATTACGGGGACTTTGGATAAAAAGGACCCCTTCTTCTTAGAGTGTGTAATAGCAAATGAGAAGCAGAGGGAGTCAGGGGAGACAGCACTGGACATGAAGGCAGGACCCACTTCATACAACCAGAAAAGTGAAGAGCCTTAAGGCCAGGCTGTGTAGCCTAGAGAAGAAAGGGCTCACAGAAGCCATGATATGTATCTGGCTGTCCTATAGAGGTGCATCAGACTTGTTCTAGTTCATATTAGAAGGCAGGACAAGGAATGGTGAATGGAAATTGTAAGAAGGCATATTTAGGTATGATGTCAAAAAATCTTCTTTAGAATAAGAGCTGTCCAGAGGGGAGTGGGCTCCCCCTCCTCAGAGGTCTTCAAGCAAAGGTTGCATGACCACTTGGAGTTCAGGTGTGCTATACAGGGGGTTCTCTTCAGGTATGGCTTGAAATGAACTAGACAGCCACTGAGGTCCTCTCCACCTCTAAAATCCTGTGATTCTGCAACTGGGAAATGGCTGAACATACAGCAGTATATGGATCCAATGGGATTTTATTGCACTGTAAGAAATGATAACAATAAATGGCTGAACAAGTTATGGTGTATGGTTGTGATGAAATACTACCATGCTGTAAGAAATGATGAGCTCAATGATCTTGGAAAGTAATGGAAAGTCTTGCACAAAATGGTGAAGAGGGAAGTGAGCAAACAAAAACAAAGACATCAGACCTGCCAAAAAACCAAGAGAACATTGTATACAGCAGAGGTGGGGAACTTGCGGCCTTCTAGGTCCTCGGGTGCAGTCCAAGGACTAAGTCCAAGTTGTACAGAACAAATCCTTCTATTAAGGGGATTTGTTCTGTGAGGTTTGTATTCAGTCAAAGGGCCGCACTTGAGGACCTAGAGGGCCCCATGTGGCCTTCAGGCCTTAGATTCTCCACCCCTGGTATACAGTAACAGCAATACTGTTTTAAGAACAACTTTGAGTGACTAAGTCATTTTGACTATTATAAATACACAAATGAAAAATAAAGGACATGTGAAGAAAGACACTATCTGTATCCAGAGAAAGAACTAGTAAATAGAAATACATATAGAATAATTACATATATATACATATACACACACATACACACACACAACACACACGCACACACACCTATTTGTGTCTAATGGTCGCAATCCTTAGGGTAGGGCTAAGGGGAGGGAAGAAAAAAAAGAAAAAAAGAAATTTACATGATAACTTTATTGTATATTTAGAAGGAAAAACAAGAAAAATGGTAAATATAAGGAACTTGGAAAACTGTGGGAAGAACACAGAACAAAGAGAACATGTACAATGACTACAATAAGGTCATTGATGACAACAATAAAAAGTACTTGGACTATGAAGCCTTATAATGAATAAACTGAGTCTGAGAGAACTGGTAACTCCTCCTGGTAGAGGTGGGGACTATGGATACGGAATGCTATATACATGTCAGATGCATCTGCTGAATGCTGGCTTTGTTTAAATGTGTGATTGGAGTGCGTAGGGGCTAAGAGAAGATGATTGTGGTATAAATACAAAAGGCAGGAATAAAACTTCAAAAAGACAAGTGCAAATTAATTAACTCTGAGGTATTACCTCATACTCATCAAATCTGCAAGTTGGAAAAGTGAATGTGAGATGAATGGGGGGCTGATGATGGCATTAGGAACTGATCCAACCATTCTGAAACACAATTAGCAATTATATCAGAAAAGTTACTAAACTGCCTACACTCTTTGGTTCAGCGATCCAACTTTCAGGCTCGTGCCACAATGAAGCCAACAGCAAAAACAAAGGCATTGGACATACCAAAATATTTACGGCAGCATGGCTTGAAGTGGGAAAAAACTAGAAACCAATTATCAGCCTAATGATTGGCAATGGCTTAATAAAAATCTTAGTATATCAGTGCAGTTCAATTGAATAAACATTTATTAAGCACTTAATATACACTAGGCACTGATGATCCAGATACAAAAATGAAACCACCTCTGCTCTCCAAGAGCTTGTATCATTATAATGTATATAATGGCAAATGTTATGAATTTGGAGAAACACGGGGAGACCAGTATGAACTGATGCAGAGAAAAGAAATTAAACCCAAAGAATATTTACAACTGTAATAACAGCAATGAAGACAGCAATTAAAAGGCAACAGAATTCAGGTAAAAGATAATGGACGTTGTTGTTTCCAAATGACTAAAGGAGAAACATATCCTTCCACTCTCTTAACAAACAGTAAACCACAAAAGGTAAAAGTTATTAGTACTGTTAGTTTTAATCATTACATTAAAATCATTTTAATTAATGTTTTAATAACTTACAATGACAAGAGATTGCTTATTGGCATGTTAATGAAATGCCAAAACAAAATATATCAAAATTTTACAAGAAATAAAATCTCATCAACATAAAAAAAGCAAACCTTCAGAAAACCTTGGATTTCCTATGAAATATTTCATTTAAGAGACACAGGGAGTTACAAGAGATGATAGCTACTGTGATGTAGGCCTTCAGCTTTCCTCAGTTTGGGTGTTCCACATGAGGGAAGCTGGCCTCTGGAGGTGCTTTCAGGGAGGACCCTGGTACCTGCAAATCAGTAACCAAGAGTTACAAATTCACAGTAAATTAAAAGCCTCATTTCTTTCCTCTCCCGGAGTTGAGGTTCTGGGGGTGAGTCCGTGGTTATTCCAATATCATCAATGTCCGTAAGCTTAAATTCCATTCCCTAAGAAGGAGGGAGGGAGGGGGAAGAAGGGAGATAAATGATTTGACTTTATTACTTTATACACCTCCCAAAAAGTATGTTCTGGAAGAATAAACAGATTCTAAGGTGTATGCCTGACAGAGACGCAGTTCTGACAAAAGCCGCATGAAGCAATTCCCCATATTTACTCACTGACATCTCTGTAGGTCAGAAGGCAATGTCAGAACTGGAAGGGCTTCAGCCAGGCAGGGAGAGTTTCTATACTTTTTTTTTGGGTGGGGGGGAGGTAAGACTGACTTACTCAATCAGCCACCCACTCTCCTTAAAGCAACCAACAAATATTGTAGGCTTGATACCTGACAGATCAAAGTATCTACACTAAATTCATTAATCACTTAAAGGCATTAAACTAATGTATGCCCCATCACAGCCTATGGTTTTCTATAAAATACAAAGCCAGTTAGGAATGCAGCATGGGAGTCTCAAAGACAACTGAGAGAAGAGGGTAGTTTCAGCTGAGCCCCAGGGAGGAAGGAGGGGAAGGGAGAGGAGAGAGAAGAGAAGGGGGAGGCAGGGGAGGGGAAAGGCTGAAGGCACTGTCTCCTTCCTTCACCTTGAACTGAGCATCACCTTGGGAACTTGGGAGGGTGAGAGGATTTGGACCTATCAGCATAGAATGCAATGCCTCCAGAATCACAATGACAGGCAGCAGTATCCACCTTGGGGGTCAAGGACATACTAGATGCACTGAGCTTCTGGATGCCACAGGGAGCTCAGCACAAAGCTAACCATACCCCGAGGAGAACTGCAGAGGGTCCCATAGAAGGGAGAAAAGAACTTCAAGCCCAAGGATTTCTAGGAGGTGTGTTATCTGTTTGCTACATGTGTTTTCTAAGCTTGAGCCATGTTTCCCTGGACTTCATATGCATTTGTGGACTTTATATGTACCCCAGGATGTGGAAAAACTGGGACACTAATGCATTGTTGATGGAGTTGTGAACTGACCCAACCATTCTGGAGAGCCATTTGGAACAATGCCCGAAGGACTATAAAACTGTGCATACCCTTTTTCTCAGCAATATCATTAGTAGGTTTATACCTCAAACAGATTTAAAAAAAAAAAAAGGAAAAGGACCAAAATATACAAAAATATTCAGAGCAGCTCTTTTGTGGTAGCAAAGAATTAGAAGTTGAAGAGATGTCCATCAATTGGGGAATGACTGACCAAGCTACGGTATATGATTGTGATGGAATACTGCTGTGCTGTAAGAGATGACAAGCAGGATGCTCTCAGAAAAACCTGGGAAGACTTATATGAACTGATTCAAAGTGAAGTGAGTAGAACCAGGAGAATATTGTACATAGTAACAGCATAGTACAATGACCTACCGCAAATGACTTGACTATTCTCAGCAATCCAATGATCTAGGATGATTCTGAAGGTCTTATGATGAAAAATAATATCCAACTCCAGAGGAAAAACTGATGGAGATCAAAGCATACTTTTTTAAAACTTTATTTTTCTTGAGGGTTTTTTTTTGGTCTTTTACAACATGACTAACATGGAAATATGTTTTGTATGACTGCACATGTATAAATCTATATCAAATTGCTTGCCTTCTCAAGGAGGGGGAAGAGGAAGGAGAAGGAAAGGATTTGGAATTCAAAATTTTAAAATTTGTTTTACATGTAATTTGAAAAAAATAAAGTATCAGATACTTATAGGAAAAAAAATTAATTTTAAGAAGGGAATGTACCCCAGGTACTGATGGGATTGTTGGTACCAACTTTACAGATGGACCTTTTTATATCAGGCTTTTATTATATGTAGGAGGGATTTTTGAAGAATGAGGGATGGGCTTAGTTTTGACCCCTGATAATACTAAATCCATGAAATATGAACTATGCTATAGCAGGATTATTTTGAAGAAGCCTTAGTAGTCAGAATCCAGTTTTAGTGGAGTTTTGGGAAGAAGGGCTGTATGCCCTTAAAACAGCACTAAGGAGATGAGGCCACTGCCAGCTTTTCTTTCTCAGTGACGAAAATGCCTCTTATAATTCCAAATCACATCCTATGAATCAACAGCCATTTATTTAGCTCCCATTGCCTGCCAGGCGCTGGCCAGAAGCTGACATCCTACTGGGGGAAGCATATCTGTGTGTGTAAGTGTGAACTTAAACACAGACACACACAATGTAAATACAAAATAGTACAAAGTAATTAATTACAAGGCAACTTGAAGGGGGAAGCACCGGCAGTGTGGAGAATCAGCAAGGCTTCGTGGGGGAAGCCTCTCTAGAGCTAATCTTTGAAAGAAGCAATGGGTTCTGAGAAGCGAGGGTGAAGAGGGCTGCATTTCAGACAAAAGGGTGGTCTGGGCAAAGGCAGACAGATGGGAAATGGAATACGAGGTGTGAGGGTCAGCAAGAAGATGAGTGCGGGCAGATTATGTCTTTACTCTTGTGTGCTGCTGACTAAAGCTAGAGAAAATCATGGAACTGTGCTGACTGAATCTACCACAGATATAACCTATGAGATCTCAGGTGGGCTCTCACTTCCCAAATCAATTTACTGTCCCCTACCCCAGCACAGAAGCTCTTCCAAATCGTTTCATTGCTCCTTGGGTCCTCCAGCATTTCAGCTGAGGACATGGCCTGAAGCCATTCACCAAGAGCTCCATCACCTCTCTTCCTTATCTCACATCACTCACACATTTTCCCCCACTATGTCCTCCACCCCTGTCTCAAATAAAGAGATGTACTTCTCCTTGCCAAGGAATCCCCATGTTGGTGCACAAGTGATCCCATTCTATCCTGTCTTCTTCACCAGATTGCTCCCTCTTTAGTCCCCCCCCCATTAATCTTCAGTCTCTCGATGTCTACAAACATGCCCGTGACTCCACCATCTTTTAAAAAAAACAACCTTCACTGATCCAGCTATCCCTGCTAGCTCTCATCCTATATCTCTCCCCTCTTTTGTGGCTAACCTCCTTGAGAAAGCCATATACAACCGATGCCTCCTCTTCCCCTTATCTCACTCCCATCTAAACTTCTGCAGTCAGCTTCCAACCTACTATCTCCAAAATGACTAATGATCTAAGGGCTTCTTCTCATTCTTCATCCTTCCTGACCTTTGACACTAATGATCATCAGTATGGATGCTGGATACTGCTGGATAATGCTCTCTACTCTCTGGGCTTTCATGACACTGCTCTCTCCTGGGTCTCCTCTTCCAAGTCTGACCATTATTTAATCTTCCTCTGGGCCATGCCCACTAACTGTAGGCATCCCACAGAATTCTATCCTGGGCCCTCTTCTCTTCTCCTTCTATGTCATTTTACATGGTGATTTCATCAGCTCCCAAACATTCAATTATGTTGTCTATGCAGATGATTTTCAGCCTTGGTCTCTCTCCTGAGTTCCAGACCCACAGGAACCAGATGTCCCAGAGGCATCTCAAACTCAACATGTCCAAAACTGAACTGACTGGCTTCGTCCCCCTTTAAACCTTCCCACTTCCTGACTTCTCTACTGCTGTTGAGGTCCCCCCCCATCCTGACAGTCACCCAACCTCATCAATGCCTCGCTCACCTTCCCAAGCCTCATCATTCCTACCTCCACGTTTCCTGTCTTCTTATACTTTACACCCTTGTACATGCCAGCCAATTGCTCTTCTTTGAATCCAACATTCTGTCTCTTGTCTTTGTTTTATCAAGAATGCTCTCCCTCAATGGCTGACCAAGTTGTGGTACATGAATGTAATGGAATACTATTGTGCTGTAAGAAATGATGACCAGGCAGACTTCACATAAACCTGGAAAGACTTGTATGGTCTGATGCTGAGTGAAATGAGCAGAACCAGGAGAATGTTGTACACAGTGACAGCCATGTAGCGCGATGACTAATATTGATAAACTTAACCCTTCTCAGCAATACAAGGATCTAAGACATCCCCAGAGGACTCGTGATGGAAAATGCTGTCCACATCCAAAGAAAGAACTATGGAAGTTGAATCGCTATCATTTTTTTTCTCATCTGTTGCGTTTTATTTCCTCTTCTGAATGGTTCCTCCTATTGGTTCTAATTCTTACTTACAACTTCACTACTGTGAAAATATGTTTAATAGGAATGTAAATGTATAGCCCATATGAGATTGTGCACTGTCTTGGGTGGTGCAGAGGAAGGGGGAGGAAAATTTTAAACTCAAAAGCATATGGAAGTGATTGTCGATAAATCAAAATTTAAAAAAATTTTTAAAAAAGTATGCTCTCCCTCCTTCTCTGCCTCCTCCTTTTCATCTCCTTGCTCTTCCCAGGCTTCCTTCAAGACTCAGCTCAGATGTCATATCTGGCCACTGGACTCAGATGTGATTAGTGAAGGAGCTGCCCACTAGGGATCAAACTTCCAGTTAGATAACACTCTCTTTCTCTCTCTCTCTCTCTCTCTCTCTCTCTCTCTCTCTCTCTCTCTCTCTCTCTCTCTCTCTCTCTCCTTCTTACTTCCTCCTTTTTTGTTTGTTTTCTTTTTTTCTCTTAAAGACCAGCCTTAACCCCAAATCACTCTGGCCTCAGACCAAGCCCTACTTGGTCACACTGTTTGAGCTCTGATTGTCTCAGAATGAATGTAACTAATTTTTGCCAGAAACCCCGAGGGTCTGCCCCTCCCAGATCTATTTTTTTTAAAGAAGCCATTTTTTGCCTCATTTTTTTAATTAAGCCTTAATCACTGAATAGGCACTGCCTCTAAGTGAGTCCTGTTAAAGACATTTATGGCATCCTGGGCTGTATCCAGTTGTCCTGATCCACATCTGAATCCAAATGGCCACTGCACCCAGATCATTCCAGAGAGAAAGCGAGGCTGCTGACTTTGCACAGCCCTCCCTCACTTACATCCAATTCACTTGCATGTCGTGGCATCACCTCCCTGATGTCACGGTCCTCTTCAAGAACAAAGGACACACAGCAGCAGATGCTGCCTTCTGCATCCCTCCGGACTCTGCTTCTAGCTTTCCTTCATCGACACTATTCCGTATACAGGCACCTTCCTCCCCTTTTGTGTGTTATCTTTTCTCATTGGATGTAACTCTTCAGGGGTAGGAATTATCTTTATTTGTGCTTGTATTTGTGAGCCCAGTGCTTACAGTAAGTGCCTAATAAATGCTTGCTGTCTTACCTCCCAGAAGGCCTTTTCTAGTCCCGTCCCCTCCTGCTAGTGCCTTCCCTCTGAGATTTTTGTTGCTCAGTCATTTTAGTAGAGTCCAATTCTTTGTGACCCCCATATGGGTTTGGGGTTTTTTTGGTGAAGATATCAGAGTGGTTTGCCATTTCCTTCTCCAGCGCATTTTATAAAACATGTTCAACTTGTAAATTATGCCAGGGAATTATTTCCTAGATGGTAGATCTGAAGATATATTATCACGTGTAACCATTAACTTCACTATTTGCAACAATCTATTTGCAAAATATAGTACAGAGCCTAGCATTGTGCCTGGCATATAGTAGGTGCTCAATAAATATTGATTGACTGTTTTACCGATATTGAATAGACCAGTGCCTACCAGGTTCTGCATGAGTACTTGCTATACTAATGCAGAGTGTATCTTTACATGGTAGGATATTTCCTGAGCAACATGGGCCCAAAAATCTATTGCCTGGAAGCCAACCTTCTGGCTCTGAGGAGTTTCCAGTAAACTAACAGCAATAACTGTTTGGAAAGCTCTATGAACTAAAAACAGATGCAACACACAGACTCCCCCAGACTGGCCCATTGGCCTCAAAACCTGCCCAGGAAAGCTCGTCAAAGAAGTATGACAGAAACCTGAAATTTCACGAGGACTGTGAAGGCTACATCGGTACCTGATAACAAGGCCATATTGGAGCTGTATAGCTCAAAAGCAGCCAGAGATGGGATGCAAGATTCTGAAAAGATTTTGTTTTCTTTCTTTACCAGTCTAGAATTTCGAACTAAAGAATTAACACACACACAGAGAAAAAGGGGAAAAAAACAGTAAGAACAGAACTTTTTTGAGATTTTTTTGCATGCGTTTTTGACCCCCATTTCTCTGGAATTAAACTGGTTTATAGTGACAAGCTGCTTTGGATTTTAGAACGCTGTTTTTCTCCATTGTTAAGACAAGAACTTTAAAATACCAAAACTTTTAGTCAGAAAGAGGAAAGGAATTAAAATATATACCTATACCTTCAATTCCTCCGACTTCAGGGAAGTGATTATAATTTAGTTCAGGCAAATGAACCTCTTGTCTTGGTTGAACCATCTTTTCTGGTTTGCCTGAAGAATGTTCTTGTCATTAGAGACCTAACACCATGAGAATGTAATTGACATAACTCAAGTGACTTGAGTCAAATAATCCTGATTTCCTCCTTGTATAACAAGGGATCTGTGATTTAGCCCATTTGGGTTCTCCCTCTATAATCAGAGATCACAACTCTTTCATGTTTTCAAGGGTTGCCATGACCCGAATGTTCATTCCCCTTCAGCCAAAATGGTGACGACCTTCTCCAAATGTGGCTCCATTGGCGTGCAGACAACTAACCTATAGTTTGTTACTGGCCCATACTTAAAGTCTCAGCAGCTTGTTCTTCTGGAATGGCCTTCAAGATTCCAAGATGACCTCAACACCATTATAAGGCAACAGAGTAGGACTGACCAACTCAATAGTCTGTGGAAACAGGAACCAAGCATAGGATGACCATTTGAAAATCAGTAATACTCTCAAAAGGCAGAGCAGCCAGCGCAGTTGATAGAGCACTGAGCCTGGAGTCAGGAAGACTCATCTTCATGAGTTCAAATCCAGCCTTAGACACTTATTAGCTGTGTGACCCTGGGCAAGTCACTTCACCCTGTTTGCCTCAGTTTCCTCATCTGTAAAATGAGCTGGAGAAGGAAATAGCCAACCACTGTAGTATCTTTGCCAAGAAAACCCCAAATAGGGTCATGAAGAGGACATGGCTGAAATGACTGAACAATAATACCAAAACGATATTTTGGTCCATAGCTTCAACTGTTTGCTCCATCAAACCTTTTACTAAAAATTAACTATATTAAAGGCTTTGAGTGTCCCCTACTCACTCTGCCTTTGGCTCAGGATTGAGTTAAGGTTCTTGTGATGAATGAAATGATGAAAAGATGGTCAACAAGAAGACAAAAACTCCCAAATAATCTTCATCTTAAATTGAGAATAGCTCCCAATTAATTACCAGTTTAAAAGGAACACAAGAGAAAAAGCAATGTAATACATAAAATTCAGCATTTCTTAAGCTATCAGAGCACTGATGGACTCTTTGTTTGCAAATATTGCAGTTAAATTTTAACACTATTCCACACACACCTTTGAGGGGAATTATTAGGAGTTAGGTTCTTGGCAGAGATGTATTCAGCTCTGAAACTGCATACGGCAGCACATGCAGCAGGGATGCTATCACCGAGAGGCCAAGGGAGCCTCTCATCTACAATCCTGAGCTGTTTCCTTGGAGGAGGAAGAGCTTCTCGCAACTACTGGGTTTTAAAATGTTATTCTTAAAATGTTAAGATATTAATTTTTTTCCTTTTTTCAGTCCAGTTCACAACAAACTACTACAGCCCTTGAGGGAGGAGTAAGAAGATTTGAGGTCTAATCCTTTATCAGTCACAGATGGCCATGTGACCTTTGACAAGTCACAGCATCTCTGGGCCTCGATCCCCCCACCTGTTAAATAAGGAGTGGGCCTCAGTATGAAAAACAGAATGCATCTATGAATTTAGCCAGAAACTGTTATTTTAACATTCTGTCATACATTAATGGAGAGGGAGAGAAAAATCTCTGTATTAAGATGAGGTATGCCCTCATTCTAAAAAAACTTTATATATTGAGTTTTGAATTGATAGAATTTATAGTTTAGGAAATAAATTCATTTTATGTTAAATTAAAAAAAAACTTATTGAGTCTTCTTATGTACTTAGGGTAATGGCATTTAACACTAGGAAGAGCAGTGTCTCAGGATCAAAGCCTGCTATCTTAAATGAATAACTCACTCTGATATGAGTAGCTCTTTCTTTTGGGACACAGTTTCCAGATACAACTCTGAGCCTCTTCACCATTATGGTTAATACCAAAACAAGGCCAGAACTGGCAGAGCTTTCATTTTTGCCATTAAGGTAAGGTCACTTACCAGTGTGATCAGGTTAGCATTATAATGGCTACCCAGCTTAACAAATAGAATATAGTTCTTTTTAGACTTGTCATCCACCCTTTGCTGGGGAAAATCAAAGCAAAATTGAGTCAGAATGATCAATTATAGCATTTTCTAAAGTTCAAAACACAAAAATGATCAAATGTTACAGCATCCAAATATTATTTACTGTTCTGTTCTCAGACTATTTATCACACACAGAGATCTGATCTATACCTTTTATTACAGTCATTTTCCAGGCCTATATAATTCATATATGCTGTTTTATTTATCACAACATGCCAACATCTCACCGAAGAAATGCAAATAATCAAAGCCATCGTCCTCTTTCCTTATGACACTTGCCCTCCAATCTAGGTGAAAGAACTAGCTTTAAGCTCTCCTCCCACCCTCTTTGAGACTGTGAGCTATGTTTAGACTTCAAGACTGTATGATTCTTTCTTCAAGTCTCAGATGAGCTTTGTTTATTTGTGCTCCTGATGTCTTAAATAATTATGTAACATGAGGACCCAAAGCAGCAGGTTTTTGAAACATCACCAGGATAAGGCTTGAGTTGTGCCAAAATATTCAATATGGTAGAACATACACAGACTGACAAAATATTTGAAAATATGTTTTTAAGTAGAATGTTTGACTATGCTTATCCCACTCCTACCTGTAAGTGTGACCTCCTAGAACAGGCCCCACTCCTGAATTTACAATGCAAACAATGCTGGAAATACTGTGTGTAATTGGAGGAATCACCATGCTGAGATTCTTTGTGCAATCCACACTGATGCTTCTGGGGACTCCCAAGGTGGCTGGATAAACTGTTCTGATCTGACTCATTCCACTGTCTGGGAAACAGCCAAGAAGAGAGGTTTGGCTGGGTTTTTCAAGCTTCTTATTATTGGCTTTTGGTGGCTTCATTTTGATCACTTTAGAATCCCTAGTTTTAGAATTAGCATTGACATCCTGTTCACAAAAGGAAATGTTAATGATATTAATGATCAGAGAAGGATACAAAAAAAAATAACCTCCTATAATAAGAATAACAGCCATAGAATAATTTTTATGCTTTTTTTGTTTCCTTTTTAATAATCTTCCAATGGAATGGAATTAAAATTAATGAAGAAATTCTAGTGTTGAGATTCATTTGCAAAAATATCAGAAGAATGAGAATGTAATTCGTGCTAGCTCTCATCCACAAAGCATTCCCTTTTCAGGTTCAAGGACTCTGCATTTCCTTTGTTTTTTGTGAAATTCCTGATCACAATCTTTCATCTTTCCTATTCCTCACAAATTTATTCTTCAAACTCACTGGGCCTTCTGGCCCCTTGGTGATGTCCTAGGACAACAACTCAGTTCTGGCTATACTCTCTCTTCTTGGTGAACCCGATCGAATCCACCTTATCTTCCGCTCTTGAATCTCTTGCTCCCTTATTCTATCAACTATCATCCCTCGCCAAACCACAACCCTGGATTACTCCTACCATCTTGCTTCTTCAGAACTGTGGTGACTGGGCCCACTAAAATTTATTTTGGCTAATCTCAAATGGGCCCTCACTACAGACAGCAAGGCAATCCTGTTGTTGTTCAGTCACATCTGACTCTTGGATGACCCCCATATGTGGTTTTCTTGGCAAAGATATTGGAATGGTTTGCCTTTTCATTCCCCAGTGGATGAAGGCAAACAGAGGTACATGACTTGCCCAGGGTCACACAGCTAGCAAGAATCTAAGGCCAAATTTAACTCTTCCTGACCTTAGGCCTAGCACTCTATCCACTGAGTCACCTCACGGCTCCCTACTCTATCTCATTCACCACAGCACCTGTTCCAAAACGTTTCTTCTCTCCTTAAGATTCCCAACTCTCTGACGATACCAAGGCTGTTCTGTTCGCTAAGGCCAACTGTTCTACAGGTACCCTTAATACCAATCCCTTCATCTTCTCCAGAAGACTGTATAACCCTCTAGTCTTTCATCCACTAGTTCTTTCCCTGCTGCCAACAAATATACCCAAAGTTGTTGGTATCCTTAAAAAACACTCACTAGATCCTATAATGCCTGCCAAATGTAGTCCTATATCTCTTCTCCCTTTCTCAGCTAAACTCCTTGGGAAAAAACATGCCTCTATTTCCCTTCCTCTCACTTCTAAGCTCCCTTCTTTAATTTTCATAATTTCCACTCCATTACTTAGAGATTTTTTATTTGTTGTTCAATTACTTTTTTTCATCAAATGCCTAATTCTTTGATTTGTTCTTTCTCTCTTTTGTTGATGAAACCATTTAGAGATATAAATTTTTCTGCTAAGAATCACTTCAGCTGCATCTCATGAATTTTGGCACGTTGTCTCATTGGCATCATTTTCGATGATAAAATTTTCTATGTTTCTATAATTTGTTCTCTGACCCACCAGTTTTTTTTTAATTATGTTAGTCTCCAACCAAATTTATCTATACCTGAAACTACTCCTTCCAAAGTTACCAGTAATGTTTTTTTCTCATATAACTAAGATTTTATTAGTCTTTGATTGGTTATTAGTGTATAGACCCTATGAAGAATCTACATTTTTTAAATGTTCCTGTCAAAAAATCTAAATACAACGTACTTGTTACCCTTTTCTCGACGGTTACTCCAGTAACTTTCTAACTTTAAGTTTAGAGATAACTGTCCCTTAAAAAGGGACATCAAACAACAGTGTCCTCAAATATGGATAAAGGATAAGGTTTTCTACAAAGCAAAGTTTCACTAATTCTATATTTGATAAAATCATGCTCACTATAATGCAATTCTACTCTTTTACAGCACATTGGAAAAGTTATTGGGGAAAAAAAATCTGCCACCATCATCAAAGATGACAATGTCATAGCACACAATTTTGAAGGGAGACACAACGCCAGGGACAGCTTTATTTAGGAAACAATTGTAATAAAAGACAAGGTGGATACTATAGAATGTTTAGAATCAGGAAATAGATAATCAAGGAAATTTTTCTATTTTTTCCTGTTCTCTCCATAAGAAAATTAGGCTGGGGGAGGAGGTAATACCATAAAATGGACCTCAATTTACCCACAAGATAAATTTCAGAACAAATTCAGGACTCAAGTTTCCTAAAAGGAAGTGAGGGAGTGGGGAGGATGTCAAAAGATGACATACATAAGTACATACATACATACATACATACAGAATACATCTAAGAGAAAGTACAAAAAGTCAAAACCAAGCTAAGATAACTTACTATTTGAAAACTACAAATTTCTCTTTAGCTTTTAATTAAAGAAATGTAGAATCCAGTATATTGAAAGCAAATTGAAAACATGACACACATTTACTTGTATAACAAGTGTTTTTCTTTCTTCACCTGAAGAATCATTTTCCTTTTTACTGACTTTAGATATTTTTATTGAAGAAAGTTCTTTGGCATCTTTCTGTATCTTTAATTTTAGCGCCTGAGAAAACCTGCGAGATAAAACATATTTGCAAATAAAGATAACCCCATAATAGAGATGTAAATAAATACAGGAATGATTTGACTTTCAAGAAATTTCATTTAATCAAGTTAAAATGATAACTGATTATGGCCTAGATGAACACCATTATATTGAGAAGCAATTGGACAAGGATCACATATAATTCAGTGACTGATTAAACACAATACACAATACATAACATTAATGATAGCATTCAAAAATAATGTGAACTAATTACATAAACTATGATGAATGCAGTAATCTCTCTCTTGAATTAAGTAGAACTTAACTGAATATTTTGGGTTTTTTTTTTCCAGAATAATGGCAGAACAGGATATAGAACAAATCAGACTTCGATAGACTTTTTCCAGTCACATATAATAAATAAGTTTTGTCATCTATTTCTCAATTCACATATGTTAAAACAATAATATAACATCATTAGGCACAGAAAAATATAATGCTGGTGCAACAAATCATGTTTTCAATCAGTCGACATTCACTGAGCATCTACTACATGTACCTATCCTCAAAAAGAAAAAATATATATATACATATAAATATATAATGCACACATGTATATATACATAGTATACAAATATATGCATAAATATATACAGATACAGAGATACTTAATTCAACAAGCTTTTATCAAAAATCAACACATTCCTCGAATATAACAGTCTCTGAAGAATAAAAATGGTGACTACCAAAAGGGTAGTATAGAAACACATGTAGGTATAAACATACTGCAGCATCTTATAAATGGTAGCATTAGTGGTATAAGGGCTTTCATTGCAAGATTTTCTTTCCTTTAACCAGTCAAAGTATAGTATTGTGTGATATTTTATCTTGGATCTAGAAGCTCTGAATTTTGGTTTCGACATTCTTGGGTACTTTCAGTTTAGGGTTCCTTTCAGAAGGCTGTTGTGGATTCTTTCCTTTTTCCCTGTACCCTCTGATTCTGATAGATCTGGGTAGCTTTCTGATTTCTCAAACTATGGCACCCATTTGGACATGGTTTTCAGAGAGGCCAATGATTCCTAAACTATCTCTCCTCATCCTGTTTTTCAAGTCGGTTGTTTTTGATAGTAGATACTTTACCTTTTCTTCATATTTTTCAATTTTTAAACTTCACTTTAATATTTCTTGTTGCCTCCTAAAGTCACTAAGTTTTGTTTGCTCCATCTTATTTTCAAGGAGTCTACTACTTTGGTAAGGTATTCTATCTTCCATCCAAAACTATTTATTCTCCTTCCAACTCTTTCCTCAAGAGCTCTTATTTCTCTTTAAAATTTCATTTCTTTATCCCTTATTTAATTTCTTCCTGTCATTTTTTGATTCCCTGTGTCCAAGCCATTTCGTTCTCCTGAGGCTTTGCTCATACTCACTTTGGAGTTACTCTCTTCTTCTGGATTGGGCATCTCTTCACTTTAGATAAGTATCATTTACTACGCTGACAAAAATTCCGTTTATTCTAATGTATACTATTGTTTTTAAGAGAAACTATTGATTTTTTAAAAGCTTTTTTAAGCATCTATTGACATAATGATGTGCTTTTTATTATTTATGTTTATCAATGTGTTTTATTATGTTTATAATATTTCTTATGTTATACTAGCTCTACATTCCTGATATAAATTCATTATGGTCATAGCATATAATCTAATATGCTATTATAACCTATTTGCTAATATTTATTTAAAGTTTTGCATTAATATTCATATGGTTATAAGCCTATAGTTTCTCTCTTCCTGGTTTAAGTACAGAAGCAGACTGGAAGAAAGAGATTGCAAACAGCTTATGTAATATTGAAATTAATTGTTTTGTGAATATTTGATATAATTCACTTGCAAATCCATCAAGTCCTAAAGTTTTTTCTCAACCTTGGAAATTCATTTATGGCTTATATGATTTTCCCATTGATATTGGGTTATTTAAATAACCTATTTCTTCTTTTGTTAATCTGCATGTTTTATTTTATATAAATATTCAAACTTTTCCTCTAAGTTTTTATTTTTGTTAGCTATAATAAGTGGGTAAAATCACTTTTTATGATTTCCTTTATTTCGTCTTCATTTGTAATGATCTTGGCTTTTCCATTTTTTATATGAGTAATATGGTTTCCATCTCTTTTTTTAATTAGACTGTTCTATTGTTTTTTTTTAACTCAGTTTTATTTGTCGATGCAATGGAGGGTTTTTTTGCTCTCAATTTCATTATTGTTATTTCATTTTTAAATTTTTCTATTTTGCTGTTTAGTTGGTAGAGGCTGATTTGTGATTATTCTAGTGTTTAGTTGTGTATTCAATTAATTTATTTCTTTTTTCCTCTCTGATGAAAGTGTCTAGATGTATAAATTTTCCCCTAAAGACTACTTCAGCAACATCCTATAATTTCTGGTATATTGTCTAATTGTTGTCATTTTCTTTGATGAAATGTTCCTTTGTTTCATTGAGTTATTCTTTGATCCATTAATTCTTTGAGATTGTTAGCTTACAATTGATTTTTAATTCTTCTTTAAAGGACTTTTGTTGAATACAATTTTTATTACATTATGATCAGTAAAGGATATGTTTAGAATTCCTCCTTTTCTGCATCTGTTTGTGAGGTTTTTATGACCCCAATACATTATCCATTTTTGTAAAAGTTCCATGCATAGCATATGTATGTATATGTACATGTATATATATATAAACTCTTCTCTGTTATCACCAGATGTCTATTATCTCTAATTTTTTCTAAAATTCTATTCAGGTCCTTAACCTCTCTCTTATTTAACTTTTTTTCTAATTTATCTAAGTCTGAAAGGGAGTATTTTGAAGTGTCCCACTATCACAGTTTTACCATATCTCCCTATCATTCCAGCTTTTCCTTTAAATATTTAGATATTATGCTGCTCAGTACAAATAGTTGATATTACTTCATTATCTATTGCTTCCTTAAGTATAATGTAGTTTCCCTGTTTATCTGTTTATTTTATCTATTTTTAGTATAACGTTATCTGAAAGTCATGATTCCTATCTCTGCTTTTTTAAAATTTAGCTGAAGCTTTTTTTTTACTCTAAATCCTCACTTTAACTTAACAAGAATCTTTATGTTTCAAGTGTGTTCCCTATTAACAACATACTGTTGGATTCTGCTTTCTATTCCATGTCTTCTTCCACTTTATGGATGAGTTCATTCCATTCACATTCATTATTACAACTGCTAATGTATACTCCTCTACACTGTCATCCTATATGTTTTTCTTTGTTTTTTTCCTACCTCTTCCCTTTACATTTAAGAAGGTGTTAAAAGAGATGGAGTTTGCCTATGTCAGTGACATAATGTTTCTACTCCATTGCCCCTATTCTTTCACCCTTGATCCTAGGTTTTTACCCTTTGTTCCTTTCCTTTTAATCTCCCTTGTGTTCATCCTTCTGATGATGGGAGTTTTGTTTTGCTTATGACTACTCCTTTATCTATCATGCCTTTCCTCTTAAACCCCCCTTTATCCCTCTCTCTTGTTCCTGTCCTCTTCTCATTCCCTTTTGAGTTCAATGTGTTTCTATACCATGATCTTTATGTGTCTGGAGGGAATGGTGTTATAAGTGTGCTCAAACTTCCTTTGACTAGTTCCACTGAAAGTGAGGTTCATGGGATGTCTATTTCCCCCACCCTTTCCTCCATGGTTGAATATTCTTCATTTATGCACTTCTATTAGGTAATATTTATTTCCTTCCCCTGTCCTTTTTTCCTCTCCAGCATAATGCCCTATTCCCTCATTTATGTCTTCTTCTAAGACCATCAAAATAGAACAAAACCACCTCAAGTCCTCTACATGTCTGGTTTACTTTTGTCTATGTCCCTTGAAGATATTAGGATTATGAGAAGATATTTGTTTATTATCCCCATTAGAATGCAAATGATTCAGCCCCACCAAGTCCCTTCTAAATGATGAAATGTGTGTACCTTTCTATGTTTAACTTGGCTCCTGTAGTACCACTTCAAAAATTCCACTTCTGTCCTTTTTATTGGGCATGCTTAGAAATACTGTTTCATTAAAGGTCCATTTCTACCCTCGTGCACTCAGTTTTAGCCAATATATTATTTTTAGTTGTAAGCCTTTAAAAAAAAATTACAGGTTTGTTCCTCTTCTTTATAGTGATAGCTACCAAGTCTTGTGTGATCCTGATTGTGGCTTCTTAGAACTTGAATACTTTCATTTGGGCTTCTTAGAGTATTTTTCTTTAACCTAGAATCTGGATTTTGTATAACATTCCTGAAAGTTTTCATTTGGATTCTTTCTATCTTCACTTTGCCTTCTGGCTCTAAAAGATTTGGTAAGTTTTCATTTATGATTTCTTGAAGTATCATATATAAGCTTTTTTTGGTCATGATTTTCAGGCAGCCTTAGATTTCAGACAGATTTTTGAATTATCTCTACTTGACTGACCTGCTTTCCAGGTCAGTCGCTCATAATATTATATTCCTTATATTTTATTTTGTTTTTCTGAATTTGTTTTAGTGGTTCTCATCTCTTTGAGTGATCTCTTTCTCCACTATAATATTTAGGACATTCAGTTTATTTAGGGAATAAGGTTTGCCACATCTTTCCTGAAGTATTTAATTCTTCTTGCCATTCTTTTATCCCTAGCTATTCTATTTTGTATCTCATATCATGTCTTCAATGAATCCTTGTGCTTAGGACTTTTTTTCTCTTGAGGCTCTACTTAGGCTTGTTGCGGAGTTCACCATCTTCTTTGGGGTTTACTCTTGGGCATCTCTCAATTCATGGTATTTCTTCACAGTAATTGCTGTTTTCTTTTGTTTGTTCATATCACTAGCCTCAATATCTGGAGTGGAGCTTTGAGCTTGGACCAAACTCTGCTCTTGGACTCCTGGATGGTGTGGGTAGGCTTTGTATCATCCTGATTTTGGTGGCTAAGGGTAGCACCCAGCTTCCACAGGAATTATTTGGCCTTAACTCCTGCTATAGTTCAGGACCAGGCTGCCCAAATGCTAAGTTGGGATGGAGCTGCTTCTTAGGACATTTCTTTTTCCTGTGGTCAGGGCTCCAATGTATTTTTCTCCTGCTACCATAGCACTGGGAGGCCACTCTCAGACTGATCACTTCCTGGGGTTTTTCTTCCCCTTTCTCTTGTCACAGCATTGCAGGCCACATTTCACTGTTCTCTGCACAAGGCCTTTCTTCCACTGACTTCAGTCTGCTTTCTGCTGCACCCTCCCTACCACCCTGGCTTGCCAACATTCAGGATTTCTGTGGAATTCTGGCAGTATTTTTGTGTAGTTCTGGAAAAGGACTTTGGAGCTAATTCACTTTATTAATTTTTTTTAATCTGATGCATTTCTAAAACTTTACTGTCATGCTTTGCAGAGATCTGGGCTCTTCCAGGTCCTAAAATCACATTACCTTCCTTCAATGCCCTTCCTCTAATTTATAAGATTTTCTCTTGTGCTTATTTTGGATTTTGCTTCCTAATTTTTTTAAAAACTGCTCATGCTCCTCTCTTTTTTCTATTCTGTTCGTATGTTAGAGATGGAGGAGGCTAGAGGCAGAGAAACCAACCAGGAAGTGATTATCTAAGCAATTATTGATAAAGTAAGACAAAACTTTCAGGTTTCTGAACCATGTGACAGCTTAAGATGATAGCAGTGTCCAAAAGAAATAGAGAAGTTTGGAGGAAGGAAGTACTTGAGGAGAGAAGATGATGAATTAAGTTTTGACATGTTGAATTTGAGGCAACGGTGGGACATCCCAGACAGAAATAGGACAGGCAGGACTGACCTTCAGGAGAATACTAGGTCTAAATATATAGATTTATACAGAAGTCATCTAGTACAACAATTTCTTTCTACAGATGAAGACATATCACTGTTCTATAGGAAGGAAGTGACATGCCCAAAGGCAGAATTCGTATTACCTAACTCTGAACCAGGGTTTTTTCCTTATTAAATGCCTAGGTTGGAACATTTAACTTTTCTTTGGTATCCAGTAACTTCCAAAGAAATTCTGCTTCAGTATGGAAATTAATCGCATGCCTCCCAAGTAGCCTGTCAATGGTAGGAAAGAAATAAAAGGAAGAAACCAGGTACACAATGAAAGTGTTTGAAGATGAAAGAAAGAAAAACAGGACACTGGTGCTCCTATTTGTGTATGGATCCAATAATTTGTGTTTGTGCCACTGACCGAAAGAGATTCTCCTCACATACAAACCAACTGACACTCAGGGCCAGACTTACATGTGGGCAGAAGAGACTACGTCTATGAAGTAAGACTTTCAATGATTCTAGGAAGTCTCTCCTTCTTTAAAATCTCTCTCTCAGGTACTTGCTTCCAGTGTCTTGTTTGTTAAAAAAAAAAACACCATCCACTCAATGAAGTAACACACACTGCTAAGCACCTACTCTGTACCAAGCACTGTGCAATATGCCAGGGTTACAAATAACATGAATGAAATAGTCCCTACCCTCAAGAGTTTACAGCCTATCCGGGGCAAAAACATGCATGTGTCTAAGAAAGTGTACTCAGATGGATCTGTGATCTCATCAAGTTAGGAATTCCCTCCTATAGCACAAATTGCCACCCAACCCTACTCGTCTATCCTGTGGGACTCTTGTCCATGTTCTCTTGAATGGTGGCCACAGAGGCCCACCCAACATGCTGGAAAACTTTTGTCTTCTTCCCAAGCCACAAGGAGACCAGTGGAGCATTCTGACTGCCCGCCAGTCACCCCTCACTCTCACCATACGAACTGTCCATCTTCTTTTCCCATTATTACATGCTTTTACAGTAGAAAAAGAATTTTTCACCTGCACTTAAACCTGCCTTACCTATTTTCCCATTTATTGCATTGCTAAATGCTTACTACAGGCTAAATTCATGCACAAAAGTGTATTCCTATGCTAGAAACAAGGTAGTTCTGCCTTGTCTGTTTTATGCTGAAGAAAAGAAATCTCTTGTGTGCACATTTGCGAAGTCAGCAGGACCAGTGCGTTCAGATACTCAAGGCCTTGACTGTCTCTTCCATGAGTTCTTACAAATGTTGCCCTTCAGAACTGTGCCCCTCTCTTTTGGACATGAGAGTCTCCCCTGCTCCCTCCTCTGCATGAGTCACAAAGGTTTCTTGATCTCATCTGGGCTGCTTAAGTGCAGAATCCCCAGACTGTGGACCCTGGAGGAGCATCCAGTATATCCTTCTCCTCACCTCAGACTAAACCCTCTTGCTCCCCATCCCTGAAGCAGTTCCCCTTGACTGTGTAAACAAGTCATTATATTCGCTAGCACTTTGGGATCCGCTGCTCTGAAAAGGGAGTAAATCCTCAAGTTGTACAACCATGAGAAATAACCTCAAACAATTTGCCCAACAAATTGTTGGTGCCACAGCACGTTTTAATGTTTACAAAAGCACACAGTGTCACACCTCTCAGCAAATCCATCTTGGTTAAAGAAGTCATGGTGCACGAGCTCATCACAGAAGGGCCTTTGGTTGGGATCAATCTGTAAACATTTCTGAAACACCAAGAAAAGTCTTTATTCAAAACAAAGAAAAAAGTCTAGAGTAAGAGAGGTGTCCTACACCTCTTGGTCAAAGAGGTATCCTCCTAGGTCATGGACCTGCTCCCTCATCACATTAACTGGAGATGAGGAGTATGGGACATCCCTCTTCCGCCATACTTGTGTTTATCACTAAAGGGAACGCATGGTGTAAAGGGCTCCTAATGCCCTTTAATTTTAAATAGCAGAAGGTAACTGTAAAAATGAAACAATTATCAGGGGGCTAAAAACCTGTAAAAGTTATGCCAAAAGATAATTTCTCCAGTGGAAGATGACAGACATAGGGTTGAAGGAAGAGCAATAGACTGAGGCATATATTCCAATCTTCTCTTTTCCCTACTCAACTCAACCTAGTTAAGTGCCTAGTAGGTACCAGGTTTTAACTCCCCCAAATTTCAACATGTGTTATTATAGTAAAAAGAAGTCTGAAGAATAGAGACCCATGCTCTACAAATAAGTTTAATTAATAATGATTAATAATTGGTTAATATTTAAAATTGGTTAATAATGTCTCAGTTTCCCAATTACATGTTATTTTTAGGGCAGAGGTTTATCACACAAAAATGTGATCTCTTTTAAGCACCTGATAAATTACTATCATTGAATCTAGACAACGCAACACAATTATGGTGTATACACACACATACACACACACACACACACACACACACATGCACCAAAACAAAATGCTGTGTACTGAACTGGAAAGAGTTCTAGCCTTGAAATCAAGTCAGATGCTGTTGCCTGGGGCTCCTCTTTGCTACTTATTAACAGGATACAAGTCCTTGCACAGAGTAGCCAAGTGCTTACTAAATAAATGCTTATTAATTTAAGAAAAGTATTTCAACACTGAGTCTCAATATCCTTTTCTGTAAAATGAGGATTATAATACCTACCCTCCCTACCTGCACTTTATAAACTACACAAGGCTGTCTCTCAATGACACACAAGCAGTCTGGCTGAATAGCATTTTATTGGACATTATCCCTAGCATTTTTCTCTCAACCATGACCAAACTCACGTAATCCAGAACTTTTTAAAAGAGAAAAATAAGTAGGAATAAATATTACATCTGTCATCAGAATCCATTTCTTTTCCTAACATAAGATAACACTGACCACATGGATTTACATGTGCCATTTTTTAAAGCACTTTCCAGAAACAGATTCAAACATGGCTTATGGAGATTTCCCCTTCGTATTATATCTGTATGATGTATGCTATTAATATCGGGTTACATCCAGGGTCTTTTTACACAGATTTTCCCACACAGGAACCCAAGAGTTGCTGGACAAATCAAGCTCACAGCCCACTGGGCCCTAGGTTCTGCTCCTAACCAAGGCTTAACCTGGAAAGTGCAAATTGTCTTTCTGGAAAGGAGCTTGATATTGAGAGTTTTTCTCTTGCATACGTGTTTTGTCCCCATTTCACTTCTGAGACCGAGCTCCATAAATGAATAATAGCCCACTGAGCAAAAGAAAACCACCTCTGATTCATCCCAATTTGGTCAAAATCCCTCCTGCTGATATTTCCAGATTTGGTGAACAAGTGCATAGTCACCTCACCAATGACAATGACATGTTCTGATTTTCAGCCAAGTCCCCTTGTCCTCTCTAAGGCGAAGAGACACTCTCAATGCCCTTTTCCGGTCCATCACTTCTCCAATTTCTGAGAGAAATGGTTATTTCTCTCTTGTATTCATAACTAATTATTCAATCCAGACCAAGGTTTTTCCCCTTTTCTGCTTCCTCATCCAGACAATAGCCAGTGTGGGAAATCTTGGGCAAAGACTGTGGATTGCTGCTCATTGTGTTTACTCAGACAGGTCTGTGAAAATGTGGCTTCTCCCTTTTGTGAGAAAGGTGATATGGAAATTGATAAGTCTCGACTTGGGTGGTCCAAGTCACTGCCTCAAGACTTTCATTGTAATATAGCCCACCTCTCATCGTAATATTCATCCTCTCACTAATTGTTAACTAATCAGTGTTGTTCGCCACCCTCAGTGAACACCTACTCTTCCAAGAGCATATAAACTGTGAGCCCACCATCATGAGGGGTCTTTGGCACTCAAGAGTGCCACTGACCTTCTTTAGTAATAAACATGCCAGCCTTGTTAATAAAATGATTAAATTACCCAGCAATTATTTCTCTCAAACTTCTTAAATGTTAGACTTCCATGCCCTTTCTTTCTCAACGTGTGGGGATCAGAACCACACATAATATTTCAGGAGCAGCAGCATCATAAGGATAAAATGGTACTCTCTCTTGTATTTCCAGCACCCTTCGAAGTGAAACTGAGCTTCAGGTGGACCTCTGCATACCTGGAAGGGCAATGGGAGGACCAGGCTCAGGAAACATTGATATTAAAAGCAACAATTCATAGTTATGCACCACCTGGAGGTTTCCTAAGCAACCAAAGCCTGGGTAGGGCCCAGCTTCTAAGAATGCTTCCCCTTGTAGAGATTGGAGCTAATGATAATTTTTCTACTTATTTCACAAGATTGTTTCAAAAACCAAGGCCCAGGGGAGGAAAAAAGGCCTGTCTAGATCCATTCCAGCCTCTTAGTAGGATCAAGCAAAGCAGGCTGGCTCCTTTCCTTTGCCATATCTATCACAACTGGAGGGAGCTTTGGACAGCAGCTTTCAAGAGAATTGGCTTCTTCAGCTTCAGGCAATTTCATACTGGCAAAGACTGGGTTCTCATAGAACAGCTCCTGATGTCTTGGAATTAAATTACCTGAAAGCAAAAACAGCACCCAGTAACTGCACATAGTAATAACAGCTAACATTTATATAACGGCTTAAGGTTTGCAAAGCACTTTATAAAATTTCCTAGCTTATAACAACTCTGAGAGATAAGTGCTATTATTACTATCAATTATTTTTATTTTACAAATAGAAAATGAGGCATAAAGAGGTTAACTTGGCCCCGGTCACACGAGAGGTCAGATCTGAACCCAAGTCTTTTTGACTCCAAGCCCAACACTCTGGTCCACTACTCAACGTAGAAATGAAAAGGGGACAGAGAGTGCACAGACGACTGAAAAATGTAGCTGTGTGAAGTTTGGGCTCTAAAATGGTATAAAAATCAGCAAATGTAATGCATATGTTAAGTGTACTAAATGTTTAGTTGTTTTTCAGTCATGTCTGACTCTCCATGAACCCATTTGGGGTTTTCTTGGCAAAGATACTGGAGTGGTTTGCCATTTCTTTCTCCCACTCATTTTACAGATGAGGAACCTGAGGCAAACAGGGTTAAGTGACTTGCCCAGAGTCACACAGCTAGGAAGTGTCTGAGGTCAGATTTGAACTCATGAAGATGAGTCTTCCTGACTCTAGGGCCTGTGTTCTCTGCATTATGACACCACCTAGCTGCCCAAAAGTAAGTCGTAGATATTCTTTATTAAGAATTTCAGGGCAGCGAGGTGGCACAATGGATAGAGCACCGGCCCTGAAGTCAAGAGGACCTGAGTTCAAATCTCACCTCAGACCAAAACACTTGACACTTACTAGCTATGTGACCCTGGGCAAATCACTTAACCCTAATTGCCAAAAAAAAGAAAGAAAGAAAGAAAGAATTTCAGAGGCATCATGGCCTCTGAAGAGAGGAGGTAGCCTTAGAATCAGGAAGACCCAGCTTCAAGCTCTGCCTCTGTGAGGTCACCCTGGAAAGGTCACAAGCTCTCTCTGCCCAAGGCAACACTCTTGTACTCTAAACTGTAGAATTACTGCCAATCTGCATCAGTAGAGGACTTTCCTCATCAAGAATGCCAATGATATCACAATGCCAATGACATCACAACTAAAAAAAATTTTTTTCCTACTGACTTTGTATCTCAGTAGCTAAGGTTATATCTCAACATCTTTCTATGGAAAATGTGAAACATTAGGAAATTCTTACACTACTGGATTTCTGTCTTAGACATGTGATGTCCACTATTGCTTTCCAAAGAAAATTAGATCATTCAACAAGATTACTCTTTTATTTCTATTTTCCAAACTCTAGATTCAATATATGTATGAAGAATCCAATGGTTAATCTTTTTTTTTATGCTTCCCGTCAAATTTATTTTTTTTCTCTTAATATGAATTTATTTATTTTTTAGTTTTCAATATTCACTTCCACAAGTTTTTGAGTTCCAAATTTCTCACCTCTCCCCCTACCCCAAGATGGCATGCATTCTGAATACCCCTTCCCCTGGTCTGCCTTCTCTTCTACCTCTCCCCCCCTCCCTTCTCTTATTCCCTTCCCCTTCTATTTTCCTGTAGAGAAGGATAGACTTCTGTACCCCATTTCCTGTATTTCTTATTTCCCAGTTGCATGTGAAAACATTTTTTTTTAAAAAAACATGTGTTTATAAAACTTTGAGTTCCAAATTTTCTCCCTTCCTCCCTCCCCCACCCATCCTCATTGAAAAGGCAAGCAACTCAATATAGGTTGTACATGTGCAGTTATGCAAAACACTTCCTTAGTAGACATGTTGTAAAAAACTAACTCTATTTCCCTTAATCCTGTCCTGCCCTCCCATTTATTCTATTCTTTCTTTTGACCCTGTCCCTTCTCAGAAGTATTTGCTTCTGATTACCCTCTTTCCCAATCTGCCCTCCTCTCTGTCACCCCCCTGCTCTCTTATCCCCTTCTCCCCCTATTTTCCTGCAGGGTAAGATAGATTTCCATATCCAATTGAATGTGTATGTTATTCTCTCCTTAAGCCAAATCCTATGAGAATAAGATTCCCTCATTCCCTCTCACCTTCCCCTGTTTCCCCTCCACTGTGAGAGACTTTTCTTTTCTGTTTTTTTTTGTGAGATAATTTACCCCCTTCTACCTCTCCCTTTCTTCTCCCAGTATCATCCTCTCTCATAACTTCATTTTATTCTCCAGATATGACCCCTTAATCTTCAACTCACCCTGTGCCCTCTATCTATCTATATATACATACATAGAATTATTTTCCTTCAACTACCCTAATACTGACAAAGTTCTCATGAGTTACAAATATCATCTTTCTATGCAGGAATATAAACAGTACAATCTTAATAAGTCTCTTATGATTTCTCTTTCCCAATGGTCAATCTTTGGGATTGTCCCAGACTACAGAACCCATCATTTTGCATAGTTATGCTTCCCCACACAAAGAGGGGGTAGAGATGCAATCTAAAAGGGATGTAACAGGCATCACAATCAACCTGGAAAAAATATCAGTTGTTGACTAACTCAGCTTTCACATCCCATCTCTGGTAAAATTTAAAATGCAAGTAGAAAGTCTCACCCAAACATTTCACAATATGGTATAGCTGATCAATATCAGAATCCCCAGGAAAAAGGGGTCTCCCCGTGAACATTTCAATCAACAAACAACAAATAGCCCATATATCTATAGCCCTGAAAGAAATGGGGGGGAAAGGGTATAAGAAGCTCAGGAATCTACAGTTTACTTATTGAAATAATCATTGCACTTTAAAATGTCCTCCTGTTACTTTATACTCTTGGTACTTAGAATTGTGTCCAAATATGTCAAATTGCTCATGAAAATAATTTTCTATCCAAACCCCGCTTAACTCAGAGGATAAACTTCTGGCAATCTTAACCAACTGAATATTGCCAAAGAGTCAGAAGCAAATAAAAAAAACCTCTGAGTCCAAAATATCTGTCGTGATATCCAGGGATTTTATTTTATATAAGATACCTTTGACCCTCAGAACCCATTTTTTTTACATTGTACATAGTTCTACCTCTAGTCCTTAATTTAGGGTCCACAGACTCCCAAATGATCAGTGGGGAGAAGTCAAAGGAGTCTGTGAAGTTGGATGGGAAAAAATTACATCTTCATTTTCACTAATATCTACCTGAAATCTACCACATTTTCTTCTATTATTTAAAAATATTCTTATGAGAAGGCTTCACCTTCGGATGGGTCCCCAGGGTCTGTGACCCAAAAGAGGTTATGAACCTCCACTCTCACAATAGGTCATTAAAAGCAGGGGAGGACCTGTTTCAGTGTTGGAGGAAATTAGAAAGTAGAGTAAAAAGACCAAAAGGGCATGAAGTATAAAAAGCAGACATAAAAAAAATCCATCAAAAAATGGTTAAAATTAAAATATTTTGATGTCTACAAGGAATCATCAGTTATCTGGAAAAAGGAGCTTGTATGAAATCTCTTTCCAAATTGTGGTAGAAAATTGAGGGTTTTATTATAATTCCTTGGGATAATTTTCCCTTATTCTTTTGAGAAAGCTCTGTGATCATAGTAACATTTTTATCTTAGAGCTAATGATAATTCCACGAGAGTGATCTGCTGGCCTGCACCTGTGGGAGTACTCCATGGAGCAGGCCTAGCAGAGGAAAGGCCTTGGCTCCTACTGATAACAAGCAACCTCTGGCTTCCTGCTGAGATCAAATGCAGCCAGACGCTGATGACTTTGGGAAGCTGGAAACTGGGTCCTAAGTTGCCACTTACCCCAGAGACTTTAAGAGGAGAGGCTGACCCCTCTCACACTTTCTTTGGACTGTGTCACTTGGGGTCCACAGAGATGAAAGACTTTCCTTAGAGTTGTGCTCTGAGGGAGGGTAATGAACCAGAGAGCATGAGAGAGGCCTGATCCCCAATTTTAAGATCAGGATACGAACTCAGATTGCGTGAGTCAGGGAGTCCAGCCTCCAGCCTCCGCACCCTCAAAGGCTAGAGAATCTCTAAAAACAAAGCTTCTGAATGGCTTATGTCTAGGATCTCCCCAAAATGGACTAAATCCCTTTAAAATTTAATCAATGTACAAAGTAGATTAGGGACCGGGCAACCATTAATTACTCTATAATAAAAGAAATGCTTAAAACACAAAAGGCTCAAGTTTGTGCATTAAAGTCCGCCACAGTAAGCCCCCTCTTCACAAGTGTCCAGGGTGGCTGATTCCTCACACAACAGGCATTTCAGAGCAGTCCACTTGGGTGAGCTCGTGGCCAGCCCAGCCCACAGGACTCATTCCCTGTCAGAGGTCACCTTGTTTCAAAAGGTGCTGCAGACAACACTTCCTGCTGGGTAAGGAGCACCTAGACCCAGGAGCTTAGAAGCCCCCTGCTCTGGACTGCTGCTGGGTCACCTGCGCTCGGGGAAAGAAGCACAAAGCACGAGTTCGAGTTCTAGTGTCAGGCTCATCTAGGCCGCCATTCGTGCATGCATTTGCCACAGCCATTGGCAGGCTGAGAACAGAGGATAAAGGAGAGAAATCCCCATCTTTCCTTCTGAGGAAGAGGGTGTTTGGGTCCTAAGATAGATGTTCCAGAGGGAGGGAGAGCGAGGACAGTCATTCCACTGAAGTCTAAGTCCTGGCTTAGTCCCCAGTCACCATCAGCACACCCACATCGTCTCAAGGGCCAAGGAAACTGCACGTTCCCCTTAGCAGGAGGCCAGAACACAGAGGTAGCCAAGGTCTGTCCCTATGTATGCTCCATGGGAAGGCGCCCTATAAGCCCATCCCATTCATGCTGTCTGTGCTGGCTGCCAAAAGTCCCAATTCAGCAGATCAGGTGGAACACCATTCCCCCCATTGCATTCCATCTCCCTTTAAACGTGGACCATCCCAAGAAAATCAAACAGAATACATCTTGTAAAGTTACTCATATCCCCAATTCTGGAAAATTCTCAGGAGACTTATGAAGGCTCAAGTAAGGACTGACTTTTCATAAGAAGTCTCAAGTACTGTCTTTTCAAACGTCTTCCCTTCATGTCCTGCACTAAAGAGTCTCAACAAGGTCCATGCAGGGGCAGCTAGGTGGTGCAGTGAATAGAACACCGGCCCTGAAGTCAGGAGGACCTGAGATCAAATCCAGCCTCAGACCGAACACTTGACTCTTACTAGCTGTGTGACCCTGGGCAAGTCACTTAACCCCAATTGCCTGTGTCCACATGGCACAATTTTTGATGGACTCCTGGATGTCATAAAGAATCCCAGCAAAAGTCCATTAGGCACAGTCCTCAAGTCCCTAATAGTCTTTACTGAGAGCCCAGATCAATCACAGCTGTCAGGTCTGGAGGCTAATATCACTCCCAAATAAAACATAATAAAATCCAGGCAACCAAAAACATTTTACAAGGCTTTCGTTGGTTACTGCCTGCCTGCTTGGTACTTTTAAGGCCCTGGTCAAACCCAAAAACAATTAGGAAAAAAAAACTAAATGAAAAGCAGACAAACTGCCAACAATAATAATATGTTTATATAGTGCTCACTAGGAGCTACAGTAAACAGCATGCTTTTTAAACTCTATAATTATTATCTATTTGATCCTCACAACCCTGTGAGATAGGTGCTATTATCTCCATTTTACAGATGAGGAAACTGAGGCAAGCAGGGTTAAGTGACTTGCCCAGGGTCATACAGTAAATGTCTATGGTTGGATTTGACCTCAAGTCTTCCAAACTCTAGGCCTGGTGCTCTATCCACTGTGCCACCTAGCTGCTTCGAAGGAAGGAAGGAAGGAAGGAAGGAAGGAAGGAAGGAAGGAAGGAAGGAAGGAAGGAAGGAAGGAAGGAAGGAAGGAAGGAAGGAAGGAAGGAAGGAAGGAAGGAAGGGAGGGAGGGAGGGAGGGAAGGAAGGAAAGGAAAAGGGAAGAAGAAAAAAAGAAGGGAAAGGATGAGAAGAGAAAAGAAAAGTGCTTACCCTCTTTGAGGGAAAGCATAGTCCCAGAGCTCACGAAAATCTCCCAACACAGATTAGGGACCTGAGGTGGACTGAATAATCATCCCTTGACCTTCAGGTAAGAAAAACTCTTCTGGGTAAAAATTCTTCCATGGATCCTTCCAGCACAAGGCCAACCCATACCCTTCTCCAACAGATCTTTGTCAATGCATAGAGCAATTTGGATAGAGGTCCAGAAAAAATCTCTTCGGGAATCCCTGCAAAATATAGGGCACCCATTTTTTCTTCCACTGGACCTCTGTAAAACCACAGGACATTCAAAATGAAGTCCAAACTCACTTGACAAAAGAACAAGCAGACTAGTTCAAAAAAGAAAAATCTAACAAATTCAGATGAGCCCCAAACATGCGGAGATCTCAGGAAAGGATAAACCAGTTAAGATTGATTGGAACCAGCCCCTCAGATTACAGATAAGCCTCCAACATATAAGATGCATGAACCTGAAGCTGGGGTTCCTTGATGGGAAGATGACCCTCACCTTCCACCATCACGAGGTCTTACAACAAAAAAGTTAAAAATTAACGTCTTGTGAGAAACCGGCAAGATATTTGATTGACATTTTACTATAAATTGACATTTTACTAAAAAGAAGGTAGTATTATTAAGTTGCCTCACAAAATACTCTTAGGGATAATTCACTAAAGTAATTTTAATTGCTTAATGATAAAGTGGCAAAAATGCAAGGACACTTCTTAATGATTTTTCCTTGCCCTCAGTAAAAACTTCTTTTCGGTGTCTGGAAGGCAATTTATTGGATTAGCACTCAGGACTTTCCCCCGATGGAAAGTTAAAAGGCTCCCCCGGTACTTCGTGATTTCTTATTTGCCATACTTTATGTCTCCATCCAAAAGCTCTGGAGCTCTGTACCGACGAGTGGCCGCATAATCAGTGTACACTTCCCCGGGGACTCCCAACATGCGAGCAAATCCAAAGTCACACAGCTTCACTATTCCAGACTTGGAGATCAGTGTGTTCTCTGGCTTTATATCTCTGTGTATAATCTAAGTCAAAAAGCATAGCACAAGAAAAATCAGGGCTACGTTTTTGGGCATCAAACCAATAAGTGTAATACACTGTCCTGAGCCCCATGGTGACATACACCAAGATGTGGCACCAACAGATATATATGATGGATTCAGAGAAACCTTAGAACATTTGTATGAACTGACACAGAATAGTGAGCAGAGCTAGCAGAACAATCCACACAATAACTATGATACCATAAAGTCAAAGGACTTTGAAAGACTCAGAACTTCAGCCAAGGTCGTGGTCAATCGGGACCTAAGAAAACTGATGAAAATGCATGCTTCCTCCTCCCTCCTGGCAGAGAAGCAATCAACTAGAGGTTCAATGTGAAATATGTTGTCATATATAGCCAGCATGATGACTTGTTTTACTTAGTTATACTTATTTGTTACATGGAAGGGCTTCTACTCAAGGGGGATAGAGAGGTTGGTGGGTACTGACGGTGATATAAAAAAAGAAAGAAAGAAACATAAAAATGTAAATGAAGCATTCTTTAAATTATTTTTTGGCAATTGGGGTTAAGTGACTTGCCCAGGGTCACACAGCTAGTGTTAAGCGTTTGGTCTGAAGTCGAATTTGAACTCAGGCCCTCCTGACTTCAGGGCCTGTGCTTTATCCATTGTGCCTAGCTGCCCCTGCATTTTTAAAATTATACAGAAGAGACCAAAGGAGACTCAGAAGGGGAAATATAAGGAGGGCAGTTTTACTCCTATCTTATTAAATGGAATATATTCTTTAAAAAACACATAATACAAGTTTATAATTTCACATACACACATATTCTTTGTGGTAATGTTCATGTTTGTTTAGTTCATAGCAGAAAATAGAATTTTAAAATACCAGGAAATATAAGAATGTGGTCTATAATCTCACTATTTATCATCCAGTTTTAGGGAAATTGGCATAAACACTTAAAAGCTTAATAAAAGGGTCAAATAATAATTCAACACAATAGAAAAAAAGGGCAAAAGAATAAGGATCTTTACCTGAGAAAGAATTGAGAGACATGGTGAATGAAGATCACAGTGTGGATGAGGCATAAGGAGACATGAAATGAGAAAAGATTAGGAACAGATAAGGAAATTTCAGAGTTTATAAATGTGAAAGTAGAATATTTGGGGTCACACAGAGTGTGGCCATCTCTCTGTGTTGCTGAGATGGAGTGGAGATGTAGGTCATGGGAACTGAGTAGACAGAGGACCTAGAGTCTTAGGGTATTTAAGAAGGTATGTTGAAATCCCCTAGTATGAGGGCAGGAGATGAAAAAGAAAGATGATGAGCCAGGTACTAAATTCATTGAGAAAGGAAAGAAAATGCCTGGAGGTGGGGGTGGGGTGCAGGGAAGGAAAGTCTATAGATATCTTGAGTTTAAGATATGCAAATAGAAATGTTGGTAAACATCTGGAAATATGGGACTGAATCTCAGAAAAGGAGTAAGTGAGAAAGACAGATTTGGGAGACATCTGAATGGAAATGACAGCTAAATCCGCCTGAGTAGATGAGCTCTCCAAGGGAAAAAACACAAAGAGAAAATAGGTTGGGATGAAAAATAACATAAATACATACATGCATATATGGCCCAATTCTGTGGTGACCCAGGTTAAATATTATGTTGAGAACAAAAAAATATATATAAGTACTTTTTATTCCTTTTTTTTTAGAGTAGCAATAGCCTAAATGAGAAATCAGTCCTTCCTAAGTCAAGTAAAGTCAACAAGGATTTATTAAGTGCTTACGATGTGCCAAGAATTGTGCTAAGCACATACAAAGAAAGGCAAAAAAACGGTCCCTGTCCACAAAGAGCTCACATTCTAAAGAGGGAGACAACATGAAAATAACTGTATAAATACACAATACGCAGGGTAAATGGGAAGGAGGGACAGCTAGCAAAAAGAACACGCTGCATAAGGTACTTGGGAGCAGAACGGAAAGGCAGGAAGGGGCCAGATTATAAAAGGCTATAAAAGCCAAACAAGAATTTATGTTTGATCTTGGAGGTGATAGGGGGCTACTGGAGTTTGTGGCTGGAGGACAATCCCTTTGGCAACTCAATGGAGAGTGCACTGGATGGGGAGAGACCTAGGGGAGGGAAACCCAGCCAGAAGGCTACTCCAAAAGTCCAGACATGGGATGAGGATCTGCACCAGGACGGTAGCTGTCACGGGGGAAAAAAGAGTGTGTAAATGAGACACGGTGTAAGTGACAGGACTTGGCCACCAGTGATACAGGGGCACATGAGTGCCTTCACTGCTCTCTAGGCCACGCTCCTGACTCGCTACAGGGCTTTGTCCACCCTGCTCATAGAACCTTCGTCACCTGGGAACTGCCTCCACCTCCAGATGACTTCTCACACTGGAAGTACCCTCTGCTGCGGATTGGCTGGCTGTTCTCATTACCCCCTTTTGGGAGGAGACCCAGGCCAATAGTGTTGAACAACAACAACTCCTTTCCAGGCCGTACTTCCCACGGAACTTTCACCACACTGTGCCTGGTACTTTCTTCTTTCCTCTCTCCCACTTTTCATCTTCCTTTTCTCTGGTGTCTTCCCCCATTAGAAGGTAAGCTCCCTGAGGCCAGGGACTGTCTTTCTGCTTCTGTTTGTATTTCCAAGACTTTGCACAGTGGCTGGCACATAGTAAGTGCTTTAAAAATGCTAGCTGAACGGGGCAGCGAGGTGGCGGAGTGGATAGAACACCGGCCCTGAAGTCAGGAGGACCTGAGTTTAAATTCGGCCTCAGACCAAACACTTGACACTTACTAGCTGTGTGACCCTGGGCAAGTCACTTCACCCCAACTGCCTAAAAACAAACAAACAAAAATGCTAACTGACTGAATGATTGAGAGTGAGGACTTGAAAAGGATACCTAGGGAAGATAATACTGATGTTTCAAACCTGGGTGTTTGGCCCTTTACAGCAATAGGGAAGTGCAGAAAAGGGAAAATTCGAAAAGAAAGCTGAGCGCCATTTTAGACACAGTAAGTTTAAGATGTTTGTGAGGCATCCAATCCAAGATGTCCAATGGGCAGCTGGAAAAAACAAGGCTAGGTCAGAAGGGCAGAAGAGAACTTAGGGCTGGATCAATAGATCTGAGGATCATTTGAAAAGAGTTAAAATCGAATCCATGATATATTGTGAGAAGCACTCTGCCTAAGGCTACCAACTTTGGTTTTAAAGTAGGTTAAAAAAAAACAGAGAAAAATGCACAGGTGCAAAAATATTCCTAGGAGCACTTTTGGTGAAAGGAAAGCAGTGGGAGAAAGGTAAAATAAAGCCGACCTTGGAGGCAGAAGAGTTGGGTTCCAGTCCTGACTCTGACATACTAGCTAGGTAAGGCTGAGCCATAAGTCACTTAACATTTCTGCCTCAGTCATCTCTCCATGTTGTAAAGCATGCCGTAAATAGATCTGGTAGAGGAGTTTCTTCACTAAGAAGGAGTTCTCTCTGCCTATGAAATAAAAAAATAAACACTTGGAAGAAAAGTGGGTATCCACCAACTGTGGAATGGCTGAACAAATGGTGATATGTGAACATAACTCAATGTTATTGTTGTAAGAAACAACAAATATGAAGAATTGAGAGAAAATTGTGAAGGCAAAAGTTTAGAGAAAAATATTTGTGCAAACATAACATAAAAAAAGTTTTATCTAAAATATGAATTTGTACAGGTAACTTCCACATAAAAGGTAAATGGCCAAAGGATGTTAACAATTTTCAAAAGAGGAAATGTAGGTTGTTAATAATCACTTGAAAAAACATTCAACCCATGCAACAATCAGAGAGATGCAACTTAAAACAACTCTGAGATACCACCAGATTGACAAAAATAATGTAAAACAATAAAATTCAAGGCCGGCAGACTTGAAGGCATAAAGATTCACATTCTCTGGGGAACTTGAATACAGAATCTTTTCAGGGTAACCTGCCGGCTCATAGTAAAACCTTCACACACAGCCTAACTCCATCTATTGTTGGCAAAACACATGGAGAGTGGTGTGGTTTTTTTTTTTTAATGAAAGGAGTCATATGTTCCAAAATGTTCACAGCAGCATTATTTGTAACTTAAAACAAAACAAAACACCTGGAGGAAACCCAAATGTCCCACGACAGCGGAATGGATAAATAAATGGTAGTGCACTGTCATAATGACATACTATAACGTAATTAAGATCCACAAGTTTGAGGAATATAGGGAAAAAATTTATGAAATAATGCAAAACAAAAAAAGGCCAGAAGTATGCACTAATTTTTCTTGTTGTTCAGTTATGTCTATCTCTTCATGAGGGAGGGAGAGGGGGAGGGGGAGGGAAAAGACTGGACATCCATTCTGGCACCATTTTGTGCCTAAGCCTCCAACAGACAATGCCTTCCCTCCCAAACTACCTGTATTCACTATTTTACATATATTTGTATTTATTGGCTTTATATTTATTATATATACTATTACTGTATATTATATTATATATTATATTGTTATGTATTTTAATATATTAATATTATATTATAAATACATTATTTTCTTTTATACACACATGTATTACAATATATAAATCCTTTTTCTCCCTCATTAGAATTTAAACTCATTGTGACTAAGGGTTGGTCCATTCTTCTATCTTTGCATCCCAAGTGCCTAACGAGCACAAAGCCTGGCATATGGAGACACTCAGGGAATACTTGCTGATCTGTTGGTTGGGTGACTGATTGCTCAGGGTCACATACAGTAAGTGGCAGAGATAGGGTTCAAATCTAGGTTCCCTAATGTCAAATCTAGTTCTCCTTCCTCCCTACCATGCAGCCCCATTTAAACTGAATACTCACATCATGATGATGACAAAATTCGATTCCTTTAATAATCTGAAACAAATGCTTTTGAACTCTCTGGTACTCCAGTCCATCTGGAAAGAGGTCCAAGTCATCAAGTGTGGTCCACAAATTCAAATACCAGGTACCATCGTTTCTTCTTATTATACACTTCCAGGAGATTCACCAAATTCTCATGCCTCAATTGCTGTTAAATTTTAAAAAAGGAATAAGTTCTCCATAAACAAGGTCAAACTATAGACATGTAAAGAAAATCCAAAAAGGGTATTGCACAAGAAAGCTTATGTCTTTCCAATTGTACTACAGCCAGGTATCCAATGATTTCCCTCTCATTCCAGATCCCTCAGGCATAGGCTGTTGTGTCACTGTACTCTGGCCCGGTCAAACCACATCTAGAGCATGGGGATAATTCTTGGCACCACGCTTTTGGAAAGGGACAGATAAACTGGACAACGTTCAGACAAGGGGGGAGCAGGAAGTGTGAATGTATGAAGAACTGATGATATTAATCTCAGAGAATATTAGGGAAAGGTATATAAAGGAACTTTTTGTGGAAGAGACTATTCTACTTATATATTGATGAATGGTAGAGACAGGACAGAGGCAGGGAAGCTACAGAGAGGCTGAATATATGGAAAACCTTGGCAGTAACCAGAGCCATCTCAGCTGGAAGTGGGCTACCCCTGGGGCAGCTGGTTCCATTGGAGAAGAAGATATGGTTGTCAGGGAAGGCGATTCTTTTTTTTAATAGTATTTTATTTTTTAAATTATATGTAAAAACAAATTTTAACATTCATTTTTTAAAAAAAATTTTGAGTTCCAAATTTTCTTCCTCCTTCCATCACCTCCTCCTAAGAAGGGGGATTCTTGACAGGTGGGAATAGATGACCTCAGGGCTCAGGAATTCCAGTTCTGTGACTCTGATTCAACAATGTAATTTCACTTTGAAACTAAGAGAATTAATTCCTTTAAAGAGAGACAAGAAAGGACAACAAAGTTTGATTTTCTTTTTTATGAATGAATTTTTGAGGCTAATGATCAACCAGCACAAATATTTTATTCTGAGGTTGACTCTTCCTCTCCTGGCCCCTCAGGGGACTAAACACAGAATAATGAATGAAGTTACATATAGGTAGTCTAGATTCGCTTGAAAGAAAAATGCCACCACATACCAAAGACAAGGTCAAAATGGATACATGATTTAGACGTAAAGGATGATACCATAAGCAAATTAGGGGACAAGGAATAGTTTACCTGTCAGATCTATGGAGAAGGGAAGAATTTATGACCAAACAAGAGATAGAGAACAGTATGAAATGCAAAATGGATAATTTTGATCACATTAAATTGAAAAGCTTTTGCACAAGCAAAAACAATGCCACCAAGATTAGAAGGAAAACAGAAAGCTGAGAAACAATTTTTACAGCCAATGTTTCATTTCTCAAATACATAGAGAAGTGAGTCAAATTTAAAAGAATACAGATCATTCCCCAATTGACAAATAGTCAAAGGATATGAACAGGAAGTTTTCAGATGAAGAAATAAAAGTTATCTATAGTCATATAAAAAAATGCTCTAAATTACTGTTGATTAGAGAAATGCAAATGAAAACAATTCAGAGGTACCACCTCACACCTATCAGGTTGGTTAATATGACCAAAACAAAAAAAGAAAATTATAAATTTTGGAAAAGATGTGGGAAAATTAGGACACTAATGCATTGTTGGTGGAGTTGTGAACTGATCCAATCATTCTGGAAAACAATTTGGAACTATGCCCAAAAACCATAAAGCTGGGCATACCCTTTGATCCAGTAATACCACTGCTAGGTCTGTATCTCAAAGAGATCATAAAAAAGGGAAAAGGACCTACATGTACAAACATATTTATAATAGCTCTTTTTGTGGTGGCAAAGAATTGGAAATTAAGGGAATGCCCATCAACTGGAGAATGGCTGAACAAGTTGTGGTATATGAATGTAATAGAATACTATTGTGCTATAAGAAATGGTGAGCAGGCTGATTTCAGAAACACCTGGAAAGACTTTCGTGAATTGATGCTGAGAGAAGTGAGATGAACCAGGAGAACATGGTACACAGTAACAGCAACACTGAAATGTTCAACTATGATAGACTTAGCTCTTCTCAGTAATACAATGATCCAAGACAATTCCAAAAGACTCGTAATGGAAAATGTTATCCACATCTAGAGAAAGAACTATGGAGTCTGAATGCACACTGAAGCATACCATTTTCTCTCTTTTTTTTGTGGTTTTCTCTTCTGTTCCTTCTTTCACAACATGATTAATGCGAAAATATGTTTAACATGATTGCATATGTATAACCTATATCAGATTGCTTGCCATCTTGGGGAGAGGGATGGGGAGGGAGGGAGAAATATTTGGAACTCAAAATCTTACTAAAAAATGAATGCTGAAAACTAACTTTACATGTAATTGGGAAAAAAATAAAATAATATTTACAAAAAAAAAAGGGAAATGTAAGAACTGGAACTCTCTCCAAATGAAATGGGCTTTAAGAGTGTTCTCATCACACCACATCACTCCCATACCTCCACTACCACTAGGATTTTCAAGCAAAGGTTGACTGACTGACTGACTTATCAAAGGATGCTGTCAAAAGGAAATTCTTATTCAGGTATGAGTCTTGACTACATGGCTTGTGAAACTCCTTCCAATTCAGAGATTCTGTGATTTTTTTTTCTTTCAAAGAAAAAGGGCATTTAGGACACTCCTAAATGGTAGAAATTCTGTGCCAGGCAACAGTTACCATAATTACTCACTAAATTTCACTCTTTTCCCCACCAGATAGTTTCCATTTATGAGATCCCTGGATATAGCAAGCAAGTTTTAAATCTGTGACTATCTCCAACAATTTATATTAATTTATTTTTTTAGATTGTCCTCTAAGCAATTCAACTTGTTTGGAGCTGAATTGTTGGCAGCCAGGAAAGATGGATTTGGAGTCAGAAAACTTGAGTCAAAATACTGAGACTGTTCCCTGTGTGACCTTGAGACTCTTTCTGAATCTCCATTTCCTTCTGGGAACTTAGGAAACTCAAATAGATCATCTCAAAGCTTCCTTCCAACTTGAAATCGATGATGCTATGATCTCATGTATGTGAGATACATCCCTATCCCATGGTATCCACTCTCCACGTGTCCCCTGGTGTCCTTCCCACCCACCCACTCCCACCTTGCTTTGCAGATTCCTTTGTAAGCTATCTCTCCCCATTAGATTGTAAACTCATTGAGGGCAGGGACTGTCTTTTTCTTATTTGTATCCCTAACACAGCACAGTGCCTGGCACACAATAGGTGTTTAACAAATGTTTGTTGTATTTGCTGAATCGAATAAGATAGATCCTTATCTCATGTTTATGGCATAACATCTAAGTACTTAAAGGAAAAGTTAAACTGGAAAAAGAAATTGACAGCAAAATGTAGTAGGCAATTTCAATGTACCCCTTTCAAAACTGTAGAAACCTAACAAAAAGATAAACAAGGGAAAAAAATGAAGGACCTAGATACAATTTTAGACCAGTTATATATGATAGAGCTCTGGCTAAATGGAAATCCAAAGGAACATACTTATTGCTCAGCTGGGCTTGGTTGAGTGCGTGCAATGGCAATAAAAACTTCATAAACAAATTCAGAAAAGCAGAAATGTTAAATACATCCTTTATTGCCCATAATATTATAAAACTCATCATTAGAGAACATTTTAATAAATTATTTGAACTTAGTACGAATCACAGAAATAATTGATCATTTCATCCAAAAAAATGATAAAAATGAGCCAGCATGCCAAAATTTGGGAGATACAGTCAAATTAGTCCTTAGGAGAAATTTTATACTGACAAATATTTTCATCAACAACAAAAAGAGAGAGAGAGAAAGGATCAAAGAATTGGCATACAACTAAAGAAACCAGAAAAGCAACAAATCAGAAAACTCCATCTACAAAAATAACAATAGGTCTCCAAAAGTCTCACAATGGAAAAAGCTACCCACATCCAGAGAAATAACTATGGAGTATGAATGTGGATTGAAGCATTCTATTTGCTATTTTTTTCTCCTCTGTTTTGTTTTGTTTCTTCTTTCTTATGGTTCCTCCTATTTGTTCTAATTCTTCTTTACAACATGACTAATGTGAAAATATGTTTAATAGGAATGTATATGTAGAGGCTATATCAGATTACATGCCGCCCTGGGGACGGAGGTAGGAAAGGAGGGGAGAAAATTTAAAACTCAAAAGCTTAGGGAAGTGAATGAAATAAATAAATTAATTAAAAAATAATAATAATAATAGGTAACATTGATATGTCACTTTAAGGTATGAACCCCACAGCAGTCTTGGGGGGCAGGTACAGCAAGCCTCAGTATTCCCACAGAGATTGAATTCAATGGCAGGCCTTTTCATTTCTAAGTGTAGCATTCTAGCCAACACACCACACCGACTCATCTATACCCAATTACTCCTTTTATAAATCATCCAAAGAGAGCACTCATTGCATCTGCCTCATAATCTATGTTTATTTCTTTGTTAAAGCCCCGCCCAGAATTACCTTTTCTATTTCATGTAAAAATTCTGATCTTCATATTAAACTCCCTTGATCTATTTGAGTTTCCTAAGTTCCCAGAAGGAAATGGAGATATCAGAAAGAGTCTCAAGGTCACACAGGGAACAGTCTCAGTATTTTAACTCAAGTTTTCTGACTCCAAATCCATCTTTCCTGGCTGCCAACAATTCAGCTCCAAACAAGTTGAATTGCTTAGAGGACAATCTAAAAAAATAAATTAATATAAACTGTTGGAGATAGTCACAGATTTAAAACTTGCTTGCTATATCCAGGGGATCTCATAAACAGAAACTATCTGGTGGGAAGAAGAGTGAAATTTAGTGAGCAATTATGGTAACTGTTGCCTGGCATAGAATTTCTGCCATTTAGGAGTGTCCTAAATGCCCTTTTTCTTTGAAAGATTCATCTTAATCCTCCCTTGAAGGATTTCAGACTTGCTTATTTGTACTTTGGTGGCTGAAGAAAGGAGACTAAGCTAACAAGTCAAGCCATTTCATCAAAGCCTGGAAAGTTTAAAACAAACCCTCTTTTAAAAAATCGGTTCTGTCCAATTGTCTACCACTAGTGAGATCAGGAACCAACCAGTCCAATTGGCTCTCTCTCTCGCTCTCTCTCGCTCTCTCTTTCTTTTCTGAGGCAATTGGGGTTAAGTGACTTGCCCGGAGTAAGTGTTATGTGTCTGAGGTTGGATTTGAAGTCAGGTAGTCCTGACTCCAGGGTCAGTGCTATATCCACTGCACCACTCAGCTTCCCCAACCACTCAACTGGCTCTTTTTAAAGGCAAGGAAATGGGCCCAGGATTTAAGTGACTTACTCAAGGCCACACAGGTAATAAACATCAGAGACAGACTCTGAGTCCAGAACCAATGACTTTCCCACAGCCCTGTGATGCTTCTGTCTCATAGTGTCACATAGAAAGCACCTTAGCTTCTTGACAATATCAAAAAAAAAAAAGGAATTAAAATGAATGGTCATATTTCTCCTCCAAAATCATCTCCTCTTGTTGTTTTAAAATAAAAGTTTATCTGGAAGCAAATGGGGACTCACCAACTGAGGAAAGTCTGCCCATATTGTGGCATACAGATGTAATGAAATATTACTGTGCCATAAGAAAAAAACATATATAAGGAATGCAGAAAAAGAAAGGGGAAAAGGGAGAAAGAAAGTAGAATCCAGAGACCAATCTCTGCTACACTGTGAAAGGACACAACACTAAAACGTGGCTGAATTCAGACCAAATGCAATGGCCGATATGGGGTCCTGAGGGCAGCTAATGAAAGAGACATCCTTCCTTACTCTCAAAAAGCAAAGGACTATGAGTGACATATGGTGCACACTCTGGGGTTACTCTGGGGGTCTATTTCTGTCAATTAGCTTTGCCTAACTATTTTTTTCTGTTTTAAAGGAAATAATTGGCATCAATAAAACTTTTTTAATCAAGGTTTAGATTTTATTACAGTTTACTATGGTCTTTTGCACAGGCAAATAACAGTCAAGAGTGGTTTTTTGACAGAATGCAAAAGTAGGGGCCCACCATGTTACTAGAACAGATCTTAAATTTGAACACAAACACATACACTCTATTTTGATCTAGTCAGTGTTTAACCACATCTCACAGCCATATTAAACATTAGGAGGACTTTCTCTTATAAGGGCAATGAAACACTGAAATGAGTTAAGGTAGGAAAAAACCTTTAGGGAAGGAGGTTCCATAATAATAGTATTAAGTCAACCTTGCCAAAAAATACTTACCTATGATTTGGGGAGAATAAGAGACTTATTCTCCTGGCAAACCATCTTAAGCTTCTAATTAATTTGCCATCATCATTAACACATTTCCCTTTGAAGTCCCATAATCAAGCCATTTTAATGTTTTATTTCCTTCTGACCTCCTGCGCCCCTCTCTCCCAAAAAGAAATTGGACTGACATAAACCTGGAAAGTTCATCATAAGACCACACGGAAGAGGCACAGAGTCCAGGGAAAAAGAATTCTAAGCTGATCCAATGTCCAAAAGAATTCAGTCTAAAAAAAAGCTTGGGAACTGGCTCGCTTAGGGAAGAATATGTTTGATTTCTTTTAATCTAGAAATCTTGTTTCTTTTGATTTTTTACTTAAAATAAAATGAAATGGTTTTAAAAGTCCAGCTCGTATATGACTTCTTCCAGTTTTACCCATAAGAACTATTACCCATGATAGATTATACAAGTTATCAAGACAAAAATATCTTTCAAAATTCATTTCAAAAGATATTTTAAATTTTTTGACAATTTATTTTTATTATTTGAACACAAAATATAAACAAACACCAGAATCTCAAGAAATTTCCTATAGTTTTCCTTTTCTATAGATTAAAACATGACACCAACAATTTTTATTTACCAGAAGTTCAGGCTATATCGTATTTGTAAATTTTCTCTATCCTTTTCCTCCAGCGAAATCCTTAAACATCCCAAATTCTACAGTCTGCCCAAAGCCTGTTCCATCTTACTTCTCCTCCTGCTTGGGTTTTACAATTTTTAAAAAATGTTAATTTAGCAAATTACCTCATATTAATGCACAGCATTGGGATAAACTACTGTTTTCTGCTAAATTGAAACTTACATGACTTAATCTTACTGCTGCAACAATAGCTTTTTCTAGAAAATAGTTAGGATTTTATCAATAAACATCTCTTGCCTCTATTTCTACACTAACAAATACAGGTTCACTGACCTTCAATAGCTTGATTTCTCGGGTGACAATTTTTTTAACTATTTTGTTATCTTCACTCTCCAGGAACTTCTTAATGGCCACTATCCTTCCATTGTCTTTATTCCTACACTTCATCACTGCTGTGTAGCTGCCCTCACCAAGCAGACCTAGGCTCTCATATTTCTCCATTTTAAAATAAAATCAAGAGGAATTTGTCTTGCTCTGAAAGCCAAAATACAAGGTGAACAATACCCAGCACATTCGTTTTCATGAGCTTACCCACCAATGATCTGTGCCCGCTTCTTGAGGCTCTTTCATGAATGCTGTCTCCTCCTACCCCAGTGGAATTTTACCCAAAGACCAACCTGCAGAAGCATATCCTGTCCCCCCTAATCTCCTATTATCCATCTTTGTCTCTGTCTCTGTCTCAGTCTCTGTCTGTCTCTGTCTCTCTGTCTCTCTCTGTGTCTCTTTCTGTCTCTATCTGTCTCTTTCTCTCTGTCTCTCTCTCTCTCTGCCTCTTTCTCTCTGTCTCTCTCTGCCTCTGTGTGTGTGTGCCTCTGGTCTCTGTCTGTCTGTCTATCTCTCTCTCTTTGTCTGTCTCTCTGCCTCTGTGTATGTGTGCCTCTAGTCTCTCTCTTGCTGTCTCCCTCTGCCTCTCTCTCTGTCTGCATGTGTGTGTGTGTGTGTGTGTGTGTGTGTGTGTGTGTAGGTGGGTGGCTGGGTATATGGGTATCTGTCTCTGTGTCTCTGTTTCTCTTTCTCCCCCCTTTTCCTGTCCCCCCTTCTTTCTCACAGATTTGGAAGGGGCCTCAGAGCATCTTTAGTCTAATCCATATCTGAAGAGGAATTCCTTCTACAATATCCAATCAAGTAGACATCCGGCTTTGCCTGAAGACCTGCAATGAAAAGAAATTTCTAAGCAGCCCATCACACTTTTAGAGAGCTCTCATCAGAAAGCTTTTCCTGATGTCAAGGTGGGGTTGAAACCATCCCATGTTGGCTCTGTGCCTAGAATAGGTGACACTTTTTGATTGAATCAAACAATCAGAACAAAGTGTTGGGTGACTGGTAAGCCTGTTTTGGTTGTGTGGAAACTGGGTTGTGCTATAAGTAATTTGTATCAAAGGGAGAGCAAAGCAGGGGGAGAGATTCTGAGCCTCTGGACTGGAGAGGTCAGAGAAGATTAGCATGAAGCAAAGGGAGGACTGAGCACTGTCAGAGAAGAGATACCCGGAAGAGTCATTGGCTCTCCAGCATCTAGGAACCCAGATGAGAAAAGGTCAGTCCTTTCCCCAATTTCTCCTCATGCCTGACACTTTAACCCAAATGTTTCCAGTACACTGAGTTTTGCCTCAAACACCAATTGGCCAGGGGTTTACCAGACATAGATGTAAATGTACATACTCAGCATAGAATGTAACCTCCACCAAGGTGTTAGGATTATGACTGAACTCAGAACTTTTCATCTAAAGCCAAAGAGGGAGTCAAGGGAGATTTAGGGGCCATTACACTGCCCCCATGCTAAAAATCCGACGTCTCTCAAACTTCCACCAACTGCTTCTCACTGTGCCTTAGTAGCCAAACAGAACACATCTACTTCTTAATCCACCTAATGGTTCTCCTATATGAAGACACATATGATGCTCTCCATAAGGCCTCTCTTCTTGCAGGCCATTCATGTCCCTCCTTGAGCCAGATCTGCATCCCCCACACCATCCAGTGCTTTGTCAATGTCCTTTCTGACAGGTGGTACCTGGAACATCCTTCAAATGGGGCCTGAGCAATGCAGAGTAAAGGACCTTGTTACTTCCCTAACCTTAGGCACTGAAAATACCTTTTTGAATGCAGCAGTCTGAGATCAAGGGACTGGTTTTGACTCTCTCCCACTGCTGACTCTTACTGAGCTTGTGGTATACTTACGACCCTTCTACACAGGCTGCTGCCCAGCCACACTCTGTGTGCTTGAGACTTCTGGCCCACCCCCAGAACTTATTTTTTTAAGGATAGGTGGTTTGTTGGTTGTTTTTTTTTTTAATTTTACCCACCCATACAACTTCTAATCTTGTTTTCCAGTTCCACCTACATGGTAAGGACACCCACGTGCATTTAACAATAACCTAGGAAAAGTAGATGTAATTTTCTCAGTAAAGAGGCCAGGTCTTCAGATGGGGTGAGGAAGAAGAAAAGTGTGGGAGGCTTAAGAAAACAAAAGAAGGTTTGGGAATAGCTTCTGTGGGGAGTGGCATGGAGAATCAATAGGGAAGGATTATTAAAAGGACCACCTGAACTAAATGAGATTGGATAACACGAATTTGTACTATACTCCACCAGAGAGGTAAGACTTCCAAAAACTCAGTTCAGCAGCACGTGAGTAGGAGCAGAAGTGGGTGGTGGGCAAAAAAAAAACAAGCAGGGAAAGGATTTAAGACCACAGAAGACATTATAGGGTTAAAATGGCTAAGTATTTGCCCTGAGACTGGGTCTGAGAAAATATTGAAGCATAAAGTGGTAGGAGATCTCAATGAGGGTGAAGAATAAATAGGTTTAGAAGAGATGGGGGAGGGGGGCCAGCTAGGTGGCACAGTGGATAGAGCACCAGCCCTAGAGATGAGGCACAGGGAGAGGTAAAAGAATAGGAAGCTATGGTAAGATAGAGGAGTGTCAGAGTTTCTAATTAGGGAAGCAGGACTTTTCTGTGTGATGGTGAAATCCAGAATGTGGCTTGAGGTTCAGTAAAGGAATACGTTAGGTTACTTTAAAGAGGCTAAAGAATTGGGAGTTTGAAAGAGTATCTATGTGAATGTTCAAGTCCTCAAGTAGGAGGGAAGGAGTTGAGGACTGGAGGAAGACGGTGAGCCAATGGCTGAACTCCTTGAGAAAGCAATGAGAATAACCTGAGTCTGTGCACTATAGCCACCATTATCTGGGCTGGGTGGCAATTTTTTATAGCATTTGCTTTAAAGGAGAAAAGGTAGCTTACTGATGGAAGGGAAAGAAGAATCCAGAAGGAACAGTGGGGAGTAAGGAGTCTCCTGACTCACCCTCCAGGAGGAAGTTTGGGGGGAGAGGGGAAGGTGGTGGTAAGACAAAGTTTAGCCATGTTTTAATGGAAGCTAGTAGATGGAAGGAGTGTGAAAGGTCTAGGATGAAGGGGAGTGTGTTGACTGGGATACAGAGGACATTAAGAGAAGTTGCTGTCCTTCATTCTAGAAGAGGATCAATGACTTCAGGAGGGCGATGTCTTGACTTGCAAGTGAATTACACTTAAAGGGAGTGGCACGAGAATAGGCTGAACAGGTGGGCTGGCACCAAGACTAGGGAGGTTATCAGGGTCAGGAGTTTTCATTTTATTCAGCAAGCAATGAGGACCAGAGAAGCAGCATGATCCCAGCAATAGAAAGGTTACTCATGTAGCAATATGGAACGTGATTTGGAGAGAGAATGGGCTGGCAGCAGGGTTCCTGAGGAGGACCATAACAAGAATAACAACACTGGGAAGGAAGAGGATTCCAGATATGAGAGATCTTGGAGAAAGAAACCACGGGACTTGCCAACTAAATGCATTGGAGCATGAAAGGGAAGAGGCAAAGGTGACTGACTCTCAGGCTGTGAGCCTAGGACAATGGTATGCCTGTCGTCACAGCAGTAGAAACTAAGCAGTTATAAAAAGAACAGATTTAGAGAAGATGACTTCACGGTTATGTGCCATATTAAATCCAGGAGAAAATACCCAGGCAGCTGGAAATATGGAGCTGGGATTCTGGGGAAAGGTAAGGACTGAGGGTGAGAAACAGATTGGGGATCCACCTGCGTAGAGGTGATAACTGAAGCAATGGGACTGGACGACATGATTAATCTTCATTATTATCTTAATTAAGTACTGCAGATGTATAGACCTTTATAGCTCAATTCCTCACAGCAACTTGGTGAAATAAATAATACCAATATTATCCTCACTTTATAGATGAGGAAACTGAGACCCCAAAAAGAGGTTAAATGAGTTGCTCAGAGAAATAAATGTTGGAGCCAGGGCTTCTATCTCCAAGAGCAGTGCCTTTCTCTACTATACTAAGTTACCTCTTCAGTAATGGAAATAATAACTGGCTAATGGAAATCTTGATGGACTCATCCCTATTCTACTAAGAATTAATAAAAATACAATCACAGAACTCAGAGAAACTTGGAAAGAAAGACTTGAATGAATTGATAGAGTGCAGAGCAATCAGAGCAACCAAAATAATTTATACAATAATAATAATAATAATAATAATGTAAAGGAAAATATTAATAAAGGACTTCAGAACTTGATCAATACACTATCTAATCATGACTTCAGAGGACTGATGGTGAAGTGTACTTCCTACCTCTCAGTAAGAGGGCTCTAGGTGTAGAATGATGCTATAGATGTGCACAGAGTGTGGGCCAGATGTGCACACCTGAACTATCCTCTATGCACACCTGGACCATGCTCTATGCGCACCTATGAATGAAGCACACTCTGGAAAGAAGAAGATATGGCCAATCCATTGATTTGTTTTGTTTCTCTATACTTATTTATTACAAGGGAGAGCTCTGTGGGGGTGGAAGGGTAGAAATTTTAAGAGATAGTAAATCAACAAAATATTTAAAATGAAAAAGTCATAGCTATAGGATTATCACTCTTTTTGAATCCTTCAGTTTGATTCATATATATATACATATATATATACATATATATGTATATATATGTATATATATATGATTATTACACTGGACCTAGTCTTTGGTTGCTATGTTCTATTAAGACTATTACACACACACTGCAACTTCAAAGATGAATGTGGGTTTTTTTAGCAACCTGCTTTTGATATTCCCAAAAGAAAAAGATAATGCTTTTATTATTTATTAATAGGAGTAAAAGTACTAGAAATATTTACAATCGAGTTTATTTAGGAGGAGAAACCATTTTTAGAGATATGAAACCCTTAGGTCACCTAGTTAACATTCCAATGATTAGAGCTATTTCCTAAAGTACAATTCATATATTTTCCAATGTTTTACCTAGTTAAAATATTTCTTCATGTTGTGCACTGAGTTTTCAAGACATAGATCAATAGGAAGGGCAAGCACAGATTTAAACAACTGTAAATGATCTATGAAATGTGCTTTGCTAAAGGTATTGTGGTATTCTTTCAGCCATCCTCCTCTTCCCTCTTCCACTACAACCTAGACTATCCCTGCGACTCTGG